GGGAGGGGTAATAGGGATGTTCCTTACCATCGCTTTGATATTGTTTTGTATCAGATGGATCATGCAGCGTAAAAGGGTGAAGAGGACAGCTGCGTTGAGGAGTAGTTGGTTTTATGGTGGTGATGTTGCTATCCCTTCACCTGTGGATAGTGTGAGTTGTTGTTTGTTTACCTGTCCATCTTTCACTTGACTCTTCGACTCACCTGTACTTCTCTCCCTCGATAAGTCCTCCGCCGTGTCTTTGAAATGTTCGTGATAATGTGATTTCACCAAACTTGTCAGTGTAGACCATATACACTCTGGGCGACTTGACTTTTGTGTGGTTCATATTGTCATACAAAGCTACGGTTATACCCAGACTAGCTGATCGTCTGGTTTATCGGGACAAAGAGATATGGAGGTTACAGGACAGAGTTGACAAGACAGGAAGAATCTTCTCATCATTCCCCACCTATACAATCCCGTTTCTCAGCACCATCCATCCGCGCGTCATTCCGACAATCACGAGTTCGTTTATCAAGAGTAGCACCGTTCCTATCACATCCCATTTCTCATATCCGTAACAATTCAAGCGGACGGTTCCCACTTCCAGCATTTCCATTTTTAGCTAAACCTCCAAAACCTGTTCCACAATGGGCGGAGAAATACACACCTACATCTCGTCGAGAAGATTTCCAAACTAATTCTCTTCAAACAAGTTCTATTTCTTCACCTGGACCATTACATTCTTCTCCTCAAAATTACATCCTTTCAGTTGATCCACCATTAAATTTAGAAGATCCCACTTCCAACAAAACGTATGATCACATGTCAGGAGTAAATGGTTTGACTTCCAGACAAGAAAACGGGATGAATTACGGATCAAGAGGAAGACATGATCAAAATAATGATAGTGTCAAAGGGATACTTAAAGGGAAAGTGGATAATGAAAATGATAAAACTTTACAATCATTTCCACTTCCACCACCACTTTCCATTCAAGCTTTCAGACATAATTCAACTCCATCAGAATCATCAAGAGAAATATTATCTGGACATTGGACAAATACGGATTCACCAATTTCTCCACCTTTAGGTTCTTTGTTGACAGTTCAAAATCCTGATATTAAAATAATAGCACCTTCCGATACTTCCATTTATTCTCAATCTGATACAGGAACGATTTATAGACCTGCTTCTGTTACTGCATCGACTTATGTTCCGACCGCAAATTTATCACGTGTGGCTGGTTATAGAGTAGAAGGTAAAAGACCTCCGAGTGAAAGAAGTGAAAAAGTTACAAAAGAAAAAGAATTATTATATCCTATTCCTTCTATACCACTACCACGTCAAGTCGATTTTACGAATTCGACTCTGATGGATGAATATCATCATGGTAATGAAGAAATAGCAAGAGGAAGAAATCAACAAGGAAGAAGTTTGATACCTCAGTTAGAACTTAATTTACCAAAAGGTTCTCTGATGCGAACGGAGGAGAAAGTTACAGATCCTCACGCTTCCAGTGTGTTCGAATTTGATAATTCAAGATCTAGTTTAGCACCAACTATGACAACTATCAATAGGGCGGAAAGAAATACAAGAGATTGGTATGATCGTGATACTTTGTTTGGTGGTTCCGGGCAGAACGTTTTGTCACCGGGACAGGCAGCGGTCGGAGGGGCTGGAGGGGCTGGGGAGGGTGGAGGGGTTGGAGGAAATGGTGGGGGAAGGTATGATGGTGGATCGAGTGTGTATGGAGGGATGGAGAGGAAGAAAAGTGTTAGATGGGATGAACCTAGAGCGTTGTAGGGTGGGGTTTATGAGTTAGGGCAATTGGAGGAGAATTGGATGGATTGGCGCTGGTCGCTAGGAATTCTTGTATCATAGAGTATCAGTATCAACAGACTCGGAAGGACAATGAAAAACACATGCATTCTGCTACAATACCAAACATTATTCTGATGCTACAACTAGCCCAACATGAGGGAAAACATATCTTCCCATTCTTTATTCTCTCAGGAAGAGGACGGTATGGGAGAGAAATTGGAGTGTACCCGGGTGAGGGGTGTTCTCTTTGTGTGCAAAGGAAGAGACAGAGGGAGAGAAGACAGGAAGGGAGAAGAGAGAGAGAGAGAGAGAGAGCTTAGTTTGGGGATGGGAAAAAGACGATATAATGATGATGACCATGGGAGAAACGAGTATGGCAATAAAGCAAGGACAAAGAGAGATTCGATTCGATATTGGGGATCTGTTCAATAGTAACTTGATTTGTCAGGCGACAAACGGGTACGGGAAGATAAGAGGGTGAAAAATAGAGGAGGATATAGAAGAGACCAATCAATGTCTCACCCCCTTAGGCAGGTTGATCACCATCATGTTCATCATCTTCCCCATCACTCAAATCCGTTACTCCCATACCGAAAACAGCTTCTTTCCTTCTTCTTCTCATCAATTCAGCTTCACTGACAACCCCAACACTTTGTCCTCTACCTGTAGGTAATCCACCGTTAGATTTCAAACTAGAAGAAGTTTGAGTTTGAACATTTTGAGGATCACTCTTTTTGAAAAAAGCGAAAGCCCCAGAACCTTTATTTTCTTCAGGAGGAAAAGTTTTTATACTGACTGATGTTGGTGGAGTTTTCAAAGTGAAAGCTTCACCTGAAGAACCAGTTTCATCAAGATCGAATGTCGGTGCACTTAAATTTCTATCCAACGTTAATTTTTCTTTTGAAAGTTTTCTTGCTACTGGTAAGAATTGACTTGGAGGTGGGAATTTACGTCTTGATCTTGATTTAGGTGTAAAAGTAACAATGTTATCATCTTCTAATGATTTAACATCTGATCCGAATACAGCTCCGAGGTCCGCGTTGGGTATACCGTTTGGAGGAACGATTTGATTGTCGATAGGTTTTGAATGAGTTTGTGTGGAGCTTGAATCGGTTGGATCGAGAGTAGAAGAGTTGTTGGGATTGGAAATGGTTTGAGGTCGAGTTATGATTTGTCGATTTTCGAATGAAATTGAAGATCGAATAAAAGACTCATCAATCCAATCTGCCATTTCGGTAAGAACACTATCTACTTCTCTCATAAGAGCTGCCATTTGCATGAAACCATGACCCCAACCTTCGATGATACGCATTTGAACCCAATCTTCATCTGTTTCACGGAGAATCTGTCCATTGGTAGATGAACCTTGTGCGGGAGTAGAAGCGTTGGCTTTGGCAACACTCATTCGGAGTGATTCTCCAAATTTTGCACTCTTTCCTTGAGAAGCAAACTCTGCTTGAGCTTTACGACCTCGTTTGGCTTCACGGATCTTGCCGGCGAAGATTACCGTGTCGTCGACGAAGGGGTCGCGCTCTCCACAGATCAGGTAGACAGGAGGGAAGTGTTGAAGTAAATGAGGAGGTGATAATATTGGCGAGATGTAATAATCAGTTTCAAAGTCGGGGTTACGTCGAGGTCCGATGTAAAGAATGGCCATTGCACGCATCTATTTGATCAGCAACCTACGCAAACACATCTTGTCACCCCGCCATGCCTCAGAGTAGAGGAGTGGCATCAACACTCACCATAGAAGGCGAAATGATCCTATCCTGAAAGTATCCCACCCGACTCGTCATGGTCAAACGTGTCCCAAATGGAGCCCTCTTCTTCTTCTTCACCACCACCTTTTCCACCCTTTCCTCACCTGTCGTACTTGCTTTATTTCCTGACGACTCAGTAGAGGCTGCTGGCTCATACACCAAGTCAAATTCCCTTTCGACTTTCGGTGTCTTCACTCTAGCTCTCAAAGGCTTTTCTTCCTCCCTCCTGTCATCGGCCGCTTTCACAGTCGCCGCATCATCGTCTTCTGAGGCCGAGTCGGATGTATCTGATAAAATCTCTTGCGCCTCCCTTCCTGCTTCAACAACCTCACCTTTTGTTTCATCCGGTCCCAGCCAACCGGTAAGCTTGGTAGACATGACCCTCGGTAATCCTCTCCAGGAGCCCGTCGGACTCTGCGACTGACCTTGACGTCCCGGCGCACTTGCCAGCGGGATCTTCTCGTCGACCGGAGATGCGGTTGGCGTCAGACTCAACCCCTGAAGTTTGTTACCGAGCGTATCTCCCCAACTTCGTTGTCGCTCAGACCGCGTCTTTCGAGGTTTTTCCGTATCGTCTACAACACTCAGAGGAGATTTATGTGCCAAGTGATCTTTGCCATGCTTGAGAGAAGTGAGATGAGATTCGGACTGCTCGGTACGTAATACTCGAAGGTTTGCCGGTGACATCCAGGATGTGAAGTTGAAGTCGAGTGCGGGATAAGCAAGAATGATGGAGACGGGTCGAGGGATAGGAGTGGAATGTTCGAGGATACGGAGCATGATGGTAGCGCAGATATTCCCACCGGCAGAATCACCAGTAAGGACGATAGAAAGACGAGACGAGGGTGTGTTGGGAAGGTGTATGCCGATGCATGAGCCGAGTGTCTCGTGTATTGTTCGATAGGCGTCAAACCCTTCTTCGATGGCCCAAGGATATGGGTCTAGGCATCAGCGCGGTCTCTTGATCCCCCTCCATTTTCCATATCCACCAAGAGAACTCGCTCAGTCGGGCAGCCCTTCGTGAGTTTGCCGTTGCTTATGCTTCAAACTGAAGCCGTGGAAAAGAAGTCGACAAAGGAGAGCGAAACATGAGCAATGAAACATCTCACTTACACTCTGGAGCCTTGCCGTACTCAATAGCCAACACCGGCTTTCCCGTCCTCTTGGCCCACGATCGCAAACGCTCTTCGTGACAATCAGGTCCCATGGCCACAAAACCTCCACCGGGGAAGTCGATGATTAATTGCGTAGCTTTGGCCAATTCAGCCTCATTACCTGAAAAGAACAACATCCCTTTGACCGGTGGCAGACCTGCACGGGATGATCGAGACGGTCGGGGGATGGATACGCTTCTGACAATAGGGAGAGAGGGGCAGTGAAGCGAGGTGATCATGCGTATCTGTCGATCAGACCTGGTAAGTTGATACGACGAAGATCACTCACGTATGGGTTACGGGTCTTTTCCCAGGTGGTACGAAGCATTTCAACTGAACAGAGAGCTCTGAATCGACGCAGCTGTTCATGAGCTTCTCTCATCGCAATCACTCACCCGCGTGACTACTGGCCAGATGTTGGACTGGAGACGACAGTTGAGATGTAATTAGGACTCAGATGTATTTAGACTCACCACTTCATCGGCCTCGTTGGCCCAAATCAGATAATAAACCGAAAACAGCATGCTGCACATGTCTTTAAGCCATTTAGGTCGTATGCTCATAGCGCTGGCGAAACCTGCGTCGAGGGCAGTGTTGATGTATGTCGCTCGGTAATATGATCTGGAATAGAGGGTCGCGAGTGGTTCAGGAGCTGTCTGATTAGCAAAGGTAAATTCTCGCTAAGACGAGTGTCCTGTCAACACTACGAGTACTGAGGTCGGACCGACCGCAAAACATCAAGGGTGTTTGGAAAACAATAGATAAATCAGGAGGCTAAGCGAAGGAGTGAAGGGTGTCTGACTGAGTAAAGGGAAAGGTGACTCACCTCCGATCCCAAAGAGATCGTCCATGTGTCGAAGAGCATACATGATAGTCCATGTTCCGAGGATTAACTGATAAGGCGAGAATTTTTCTTCCAGTCAGTTCGGGTCCATTTATAGCTGGGCTGACAAGGCAAGAGCCGGTCTCCATGAATCTCTAGAAACCAATAAGACAGGCTAAGGAGACATTGATTGGAACAACAATTCAAGTGAGGAAAAAGCAAAGCGGGAGGAGGAGAAGAGGGCGAGGGTGTGTGAAAGCCATCGCTCGAGTAACAGTGAAGAGAAGTGAAAAAGCAGAGTCAGCGCAAGGCGCTGAAGAGAGGGGAGGAAAAAACACCCACTCAATCTCTCATTCATCCTCCCTATCCAACCCTGTCCCCGTTTCCCAAAAACCATCCCCATCAAACCTCTCAACAAACCTTTCTTTCTCTTCTTCATCCCATCTCCAACTCTCCAACTGGGTAAAGGACCATTAGCCGAGGTTGTACCTGTAGGAGAATAAAAACCACCGTCTCCTTTGACCAATCTCCATATCCAAAAGAAAAGTACGAGGAATACTTGAGTACGACGTAATAATGGAGATGGACGTCCTAGTAGACTGTCGATCATTGTTGTGCAGTGATTCCTAATGTGTTTCACTCACACGCGGGATGACTCGTACGCGTGAATGTGAAGATTGAGGCTATGGACCAAGTGGCGACAGTTGAGTTAGATAAATGCGAAGTTGAAGAGAGAGATGAGGAAAGTCGTGTATCAATGAGGATGAGGGAGGTGAGAGGTGATAGGAGGGAGAGACAGTCAAAGGGGAAGAGTGAGGATGAAGAGGGATTCCTTTGGTGGTGACTGATCACTGAGTATCGATGACCGGCCTGCCGCTGTACTTGAAGTGTGATTATGCCGGTTCGACGAGGTGGAGATCTCGTGGATCTTCAAGATTGTGCTAAGCGGCGAGAGACGAGAAGAGGCTGTACGAAGAACGAGTAGGATCGACGTTCAAAGTTTAGGTCATTTTGTAGTTGACAAAGGGGAGACGTTGACCGGAGTGTGACACCGAGATAGACAGGGTACACAAAGTCGAATGTACCTCTGTTCGGCGCTGATCACGGCTGGTCATAGATCGGAGACCGGGGATGTCTAATGACCAAAGTGTCACGTATGAATATGCAATCTAGTCAAGCACGGAAAAGGTAATAGAGGTTTTGATCACTTGACGTTAACTTGTCACTCTTTCTCCCAAAATGGGAAAATGGACCAATGTCACGGACATCTGAGAACCGGCAATTGCTACGTGTCAAATAGCCGAAAGTCAAAGTGACCAGTGGCTGGCGCCTGGCCGGCTGGAATGCGATCGACCCATGACCCAACCACACCTTACGCTTGTTGTGCAAGGGGGCAAACCATACAAAATCTGCATATATCGTCATGAGGGCCATTTCTAGGTCGTGTCTCAAGCATGTCCCCATGCGGAACATGCCGGCCGCCGCGGAAAGAGGAAGAAAAGAGGGGAAAAAGTCTATACACAACACTGAATTGGGAATTGGGAAGTACACAGGGGAACCATCAGACGAGGTAATCGGTGTCGAGGGGAATCTCAAGCTCCGCCATTGTGTACTTCAGACTGCGCTTTGCCTACTTCCTCTTCTGCCTTCTTCTGTTCGTGGTCAACGTAAATCGAACGTATCATCAGACATTGCTCACCTTGGCACCGAGGACGTAACTGTACACGTCGTCAACGACAGGCTTGACGCGGTCCTGTTCATCAGTCTGCGCTCGCAACGATGTAGCAATCCGAGACTCACCAAAACATACTCAGTGAGCTTGTTTCCTTTCTCTCCCAAAGTCTGCTCCTTGGCCATGAGAATTTCCCTCAGATCCGTGGTAGTCTTTTGTATGTTCTGCCCAGCGTCAACCGAGTTATTCGAGACGATGATCACCACTCACCTGGACCAACAACGCAGGCAAATCTTTGCCATGCTCGCCGAGTTGACGAAGCTGCACAAGAAGGGCTCGAGAGAGATCCTGAGTGGTCTGTAGAGGAGCTCCGGCTCTAGCACTGACGTCACCGGCAATGGCAGAGATCCGGTTGTTGATGTCAGTAAGGATGGGGTGAAGGTTTTGATAAACGGGCAGCAGACGCTGCGAGTGTAAGCACATGCTGCCTTAGAGAATAATGACTCACGTTGTCATACACGCCTTTGAGCTGCTTGACCACGATCAGGTCCTGTGTGGGGGTCTTGAAGGGGTCTAGGCATCAATTACGGTACCCGGCGAGTCATGATAGACTAACAAGGGAAGGTGGCCTCAGCACGATCGAATCTGAACGAAGGTAAGCGTCGCTCAGCCTCCCGAAGAATATTGTTGACTCACGTAGCGACAGCGATTCCATCTGCAGATTCCCAAATTGGTTTTGTCCTGACCATGACGGGAGTCGCAATGTTGTACGATTCTAAGAAAGTCAGTCTTGTGTCTTAGTCGCCCTTCATCCTCCTGCGCCCCAATTTGTATGTTATCATGATGATCTCTGATTTTGCCATCATAACTGGTAAGGACGTTTGATGAGAGAAAGATTCATTGAGACACTCACTGGACGCAATAGCCACAGCGAACGCATATAGACGAGCCGTTATCTGGGTTGAGTTGACGATCGAACTGACCCATCAGCTATGATCCCATCTTTCGTCTACGGACTGACTTGGCCGCATAGACAGAATCATGGATAGCCGGGACACCTTGAAGGCGGTCAATAATCTTGAAATCTGGTCATCAGTTTTAGTCCTCTCACCATATCCAGTCAGTTACGAAACCTTGATCAATGAGAAAAAGATCAAAATATAGAAACATGCAGGGGGGCGTGAGGTGGTGGATTTCGCATGGATTGATAAGACGAGAAATGAGAGAGAAGTTGACTGAAGTGAAGTATGGGAGATACTCACTGGGTGTCTGACTGGATTGAGTTTGAGTAGCAGTGGCCATCTTGACTATATTGAATCAAATGACTGAAAGATTAACAAACTCTTCAAAGCACTTTTTGCACACTTTTTGACCGTGGGAAAAGGAAACGACGTCATAACCTCGAGGATCGAGGTACTTTCAGGTGAAACAAAGAAACTTTGACTGTGTGTGGGTGGAATGCACGAGCTCATCGTGTCGTCATGTCGTCATTGATATCTTCAGGGAATAAGACAGTGTTTGAATGAGGGGCACCTCATCCATCATCGAGCCCATCGAGGGGAACGTGGTGAAAGAGGATTTGTCTCATGTGTGGGGTATGTACAAGTAACACCAAAGAGATCTCATGAGTAGATTCGAGATAAGAAAGTCAATGTATCACTCACGGGGAAGAAGAATGAGATTGTTGAAGTGGGTGGGGGAAGAAGAATAAGGAAGAAAGAAGAAGAATAAGAAGGAAGAAGGAAAGGTAAAGAGTAAAGAGATATGAGAGAAAAAGAGAGAAAGAGAGAAAGGAGGGTTGGGTCCCGATGGTCCGCCCTTTTTTGAAAGATCAAATCATCTGACTAGAGATCTTTCATCCCGCCATCGCACTTCTTCAAATCTCTCTAACGACCAACAACATACAACACCCAATACAACACCCAGATACCAAGATACTGGAAAACAAAGTGAAAGGAAATCGAAAAAGTTCACTCACATTTTAACAGAAATTTTCCAGGAGGTAGAAGAAAAGAGAAGAAAAGGTGAAAGAAAAGATAAGTTAGAATCAACGGTTAACATAACCGGGGGTTGAGGGGTTGATAGGAAAGTGATAACTGCGCCGCCGGCAAAAGCGCGTCACCGGGCTCTTACGCTGTTGGGTTATATATGGTGCCTGAGACGAATGGAATGTAATGCTCGTGCGTGGGAAAGAGTTTTGTAGTAGACTTTGTCGGTCTCAAGCGTGTTGACACGAGCATTGCGCGAATTTGAGTATGTACATGTCCTAAAAGTGTTTGAGAGAGGAGAATAAGAAAGAAACAATTCTGGAACTTGTTCGTCAAAGGAGGTGGGCATGGGGGAGTTGTGATTGTGGATCAGTGGATCAGTCGTCTCAGGGTTGAACCGACGGCGACGGGAACAAAGCATATGAGATAAGGGCGTCTTTGATGATCTGATGAGTTTTGATTATCACATGTCAACCAACTCTTCTGGTTACTGTGTTTTACACATTGTCAGATATCGAATTACCTCTTCGTGATTGACTGCGAGATGTGAATGTTCAAAAATCAGCAAGAAACAACGACGTTAGCAACATCATGCATAATAGCATCTCACACAAAATATCCCATGTCCCCATGTTCTATCCACACTTTGAAAAGGGCATTTGACACAGATCAGGACAAACAGAAACAATCTCATGTCCTATGTACTCACTTTACTTTTCTTCCTCGGACTCCCACCGAACGCCTCGCGCATTCTCTTATACTTATCAACAACTTTCGGGTCTGCATCCTCCCATCTAACACTCTCTTCAGGATCTCTAGTAGTGGTTTTCAGGTCGATGATAGGATCCGTGATATCGAATGATATATCTGGTGATGTGGGTGAACGTGAGTGAGGTGAGACGGATGTTGTCAATGGAGTGTGAGAGGGTTTGAGTCTCGAAGAAGGTCGAGAGCGACGGATCTAATTATTAGTAATTTCTTCTGTTACCATGTCCTATGACAGGTTTTGAATGACGTGATCTGTCAGTGAGAGAAAGTAGTGAGGGTTGAGTGTGAGGAGAGACCGAAGAAACAAGACGAGCCAGTGAAGATATAAGATGAAGAAAGTGAAATGATAACTTACAGCTTTGGATTTATGTCCTGAAGGTTGACCTATTTCTGCTAATTGTTTCAACGCTTCGTTCACTTTAGTCACAGGTGTCGTCACTACGTTTACGGGAGTTGTTTTTGCCAACTTCACTTCTAAACTTATCTCCTTTCCACTTGCAGATCTCTCGAATAAGATACCCTCATTAGTTTGATCCGCCTGATTCAACTTTCTCTCCGTTTCGGGGTTTGACTGTGACAATACTGTCTTTCCATTACCTTTCTCACGCAACGGTCCAGACCCTGACGCACTCCCAGGATTACTACCCAGTCCATCGCCAATATGAGTCGGTGTCAATCCCAATTTTCGTGATGGATCAAGAGTTGAACTTTGCGAGGTGCCGTGTTCGTCGCCGACTCGAAGCACCTGGTCCAGTGCCAACTGACCGGTGGACGATTGAGGATTGGTGTTCGTGTTCGAATCTACTTTTGTGACTGAAGAATGTCGATGATCCGTATCCTTGACCAATATACCAGTCTCAGCCATGGTCAGCAACCAAGTACTTTGGACTACTGAGACGCCCCATTCGAGGGCTTTTTCGTATTTTTGACCAGAAGGAGTTGCGCAGACCAAATGCGTGGTTTGACGATTCAGCTTGACGGATAACGTCGCCCCTGAACATCAGCTATTCGATCTTATTATATTGGGCGATAACTCACCAATGGCACGGATGATCCGTCTCAGGTAAACCGTATTTTCGCTCGAATGTCCAGAAAGATGAATGAGCATATTTGACGTGCCGTTTACCGGCATTGTCGCGGATAATGGTCGAAACACTAAGTGATCGCTGGGCGATAGTAATTTTTGTTCAAAACAACATCCCTCCACCCAACATTCCGTCACTACTTGTGCTTGGCTGTTCGTGGGTAAATCTGGTTTATTCGTATTGGCTCTAAGACATCAGCAACGAATGACTAGAGGGAAGAACATACAATCTGACAATCACAAAATCGACATTATCGTCCTTTTGAGAGGCTAAAGTCCCCCCATGAGCGGTCAAAGCCTTTTCCAGACCTTCGTAATGTTCCATGATCGTGTGACTGAAAGTAAGTCCAGAGAAAATTTGAGGTATTCCATCTTGCTCTTTGCTGTCTGCTGCTTGGGCAGGGATGGGTGGTTGAGTGGCGGCAAAAGATGCAGTTGGGTTCAAGGAGGTAAGGGGGATGGCCGACAAAGGGGATTTGGAAGAACCGGGAGCAAATGATGTAGTTCGCGATGCATGAAGCATCGAAGGTCTTTTCTCTGGTTTTTTCGAAGAGGGTATTCTGGAAGGGTCAGCCCGAGTAGAGTCGGATCGCATGGGAGGGTCTAGTGGTAAGGGGTCTTGCGTGACCTCATGGAGATCGTCGAGAGGGGTTTTACTCCACTTGACAACTTCTTTAGTCTCCAAAAGTTGACCGACGAGGATGTCCAAACCATCGTCACGTTTTTGTTTCCGTAATGCCGCTGGTTCATCTGGTTCTTCTTCTTTGACCACAGTCGCAGGGGCGGGGTCTTTGAACACAGTTCCATTCAACACGTCCTCTGAATATCAGCTAGTAACATCACACACATAGAGAGCCTTTGTATGTCACTTTGACTCACCAGCTTTGACTTTTCCCGTTCTTCTCGGTTTTCTCGCATCATATTTCTCTTCCTTCCATCTCCCTTCGTAGGCGATGCAATCCCATAACCAATCTTCATATACGATTTTCATATCTTCTCCTTTCGATTTCTTACCCGCTCTTCTACTCGCTTCTCTTGATTTTATTTCTTTGAGAGCCCATTTGACTTTATCGGAAGATTTCATCTCGCTCGTCATTTTGTCAGAGATTAAATGAGTGCAATGTCGATCCAGGTCTTTGGAATACACCCCGCCGTTGGAGTTGACATATGCCACAATTTCTTTCCTTCTCTCCACTACTGATGAGCTCAGGTCACAAGAACAGTCTTAGTTGAGCTCACCTGGTTCTATACCAGTGATAGAGATACGGAGTCCAGCGAAAGGTTTCAATTTCCATTCTGAAAGGTCCTAACTGTCAGCCAGAGAATATGTGGGACAAATTGCAAGGACACACTTCGGAAGGAAGGAACTCTTCGCCGGCTAACCATCTCTCATGACCATGTTCTATCCATTGAGGGGTCATGATAGGCATTCTATGTTCGAGAGCGTATTGATATTTTTCGGATGTAAATCCTACGGCGACTATATGAGTTACATGGATGGTCAAGGCGCTTTCTACTCGTGCGCCGAGTTCTCTGGCCAGACCAGATAGTCGGACCTATTAATCAATAATATTCCTCAATACATTCAACCCCTCTATTCCTATGTGACCAATACTGACGTCCGACGTAAGTGACGATGGTGGGAGGAACAGATACGACGGCGCTCACTTTATCTTCCACGCCGGTGAAAGTGATGACAACATTTTTCCACGGTTTACTTCCATTCTGAAGAGCCACATTAGTCAATTCGGAATCTATCCTTCAGCTTGGTACATCCCAGCAACAAGGCCGATACTGACCTTCGGCATCTTTCCACAAGTATTCCTGCAAGGCACTATCGTCAATGGGAGAAGAATCTCTAGCCTTTCCTTTTGCATTTCTTGCTGGTACAGGACGAAGTTTGACCAAAGGTATCTTGGTTGATAGATGTCCTCGGCGGTTCATGATTTGTCTCTCTCCGAGGGGTTGAGGAAGACGAGGGGGCCGGGCGAGTGAGAAGAGTTTTGTTGCAAAGTCAGTCGCGGTGAAGAGAAAGTTGAAAGATCCTCAGGCAGGCGCGTTTGATGACGCGACTCGGTTGTCCCACGGAGATGGATCGATCTCCGTAAGAAAGTCTGGCAAACCACCTTTCTCTCGAGTATGCCAGCTCACACGGCAGCAGCCAAGAGACGTTCATCATGTTCAAGAGCACTAGCAATATTCTGAGATTGATAGAACTACCTTGTTCTTCCCGTACAGGATCTTTTCTAAGCGCGACCTTAGCACAACCTCAATATCCCCGCTTCGTCTCTTCGCAACCTGGACCAACAGCCACTTTGATACCCGACGATTCCCCTCACCTCACTTCTGTGAGTCGTCCTTCAGTCAGAACCGCGGCAGCTCAGTGATATGGAAAGAGCTGAATCATAGCCTGCGGCATATATCTCTACTTCCACAGACCCATGGTTCAATCTCTCTTACGAAGACTGGTGAGTCTATATATATCATTCATAGCATTCCTCAAGTCATAAACTGAAATCAGGCTACTCCGGAATACCCTTCATAACCAACCAATGCTGTTTCTCTACCGAAACGTACCTTGCGTCGTTATCGGTCGTAATCAAGTGAGTTAAACATCATGGTGATGAATGAAGATTGATAGAAGAACCCATGGAAGGAAACGACACCTAGGAAATTGAAAGAATGGGGAATACCTTTAATCCGACGAAGATCAGGAGGAGGGACAGTGTATCATGTATGTCGTTTCTCTTACTACTATGAGTATATAAGTTGACTGTAAGGATATGGGCAATACCAATTTCTCAATATTCCTCCCACGTCTATTATTCACTCGATCTCATGGAGCTGAACTAATCGCTCGAGCTATCAGAAATAGGATAGGTGTGCAACAGTGCTGTGTGAATTCAAGGAACGATATAGTTATTCGAGATGGTATCAATGACTTTAAAGTCAGTACTACCCTTTATGCTTACTCCCCATTTCCATCTCCATCTCCATCCTCACTTTCTGCCCGTCACAACCTTGTGATATCTTCTGTGTACTTACCTTGAGTCATGATGAGAGAATTTTCGATTGATTTACAGGTCTCCGGCTCAGCATACAAAATCATCCAACATAGAGCTTATCACCACGGTACCATGCTCATCTCCTCTGATACTTCTCTGCTCGGTAAAGCTCTCAAATCTTCTTCCGTCAGTCAATCCTTCTTTCTCATCTTTAAAACTAATCATCAGCCTGACATGGAGACAAAAGGAATCCCATCTTATCGATCTCCAGTGACGACTCTCTCCAAGTACTCATCTCAACCAATAACGCATGAAAATTTCGTCTCTGCCGTGATCGAAGAATTCGAAGATGTATATGGTTCTGGGGAAAACATGGCCGTGAAGGAGATTCGAGAGGAAGAAGTTGTGGAGAAAAAGGTTTGGGAAGGAATCGAGGAGATGAAATCTTGGGAATGGGAATTCGGTCAAAATCCAGAGTTTTCAAATATTTTGAAGGGTAGATTATCATTTGGTAATTTGGTTCGTCATTTCATTCGATTCGATAATCACCCACTTTACCTCGTGTACCCAGGATGGCATATTCTAGTGAATTGAGAGTTGACGACTTAGACGGTGACTCTATCTGCTCGACATGCCCGTTTGACCCAGATACATTTCAGCCTCGACGAGTCGAACAAGTCGGAAAATCTTCAGGCCTTCCTCAAGGCGCTGTCTGCGACATTGATAGGACAGAAATACGAACTTCTCGATTCTATCAATTTGCCCACTGATTCCGCATACGCAGGTCATAAATGGCGAAAAATATCAGAGGAGACCATCACATGGCTTCGAGCCACGATGTGACAATCTTGATACTATACGATCATCAAATGCATGTTCTCAATCATCATTAACATCGATATTTGCTCGTCTGTGGTATTTAGAACTGAAGGCAGTGTACGCCCCGTATCTGTCATAACTGCTTGCTGTCGCTGTCATGTCAACGAAAGGTGTAATTTTCTCTAGGCCTTTTTTCCCTTGGGGAGGGTGATTGTTGCTAATGGGGTGAAGGATAATTCCCACAAGCATCATCAATGGCCATTATCCCGTTCACTATTTCTAAATCACGCCGTATACACCAAACGTCCGATACACTCTTCATGGTCGTTATTTAATCACTCATACCAATGCACCATTTATTGCAAGAGGTCTTGGTCTTCGTTCATACCATAGTCTCTTCTTTGTGTACAGAATCATGTCTTGAACATGATATATTGAATCTATCAAGTCAGCTACCATGTAGAAGGAGAAAATAACATACCATCTCCCTCCTGATAACAGAACCCCTATATTCTCAATACCCCTTCTGAACTTTTCACTCTGATTGAACCATTCCGCCTTCAAGTCTTCTGGTGTCGTGGAAAACATCCGACTGGTGGGTAAAGAAGGATTGGGAAGAAAACCATTCTTTGATCCTTCGTCAGAGCCCTGGGGCAGATTTTGATCGGAAGATTTTGTTTGTGGTGGGTCAGACTCTGTCAAAGGCTGGGAATCAGGGATGGGCGGTGGAGGGACATGACGAGCGTGAAAGTTTGGAGGAAGGGAAAGAAATGGATTATGAGATGTTTGGAGAAGTAAATGAAGGACTGCTCGGAAGATCTGAGAATTAGACATCTGGATTGCCTGCATCACCCCTTCAGATCGTTTCATGCCACGTCGATAGGGGAGAGTGAAGGTGGTTTGTGAAGTGCATATTTGATCGCCGCGAGTATCATTCGACAGACGCGGGGGATTGATTCATTTAACCTCTCTATGATCAGGTGGGAGGGGTGGGAGGAGAGTGCTCAGAAAGAGGAGGTTGGGTGACTGCACGAGTCTTCACCATAAAGTCAGAAGTCTCAACAGAGAGGTCAAAGAAGGAAGATATATGAGGGAAACGGTGGAAGATACGGAGACACATACCGCTACTATATCCGCATCTTTGATCATAGCATCTACCAATGCGACTGAAATCACCAAACGTAATTTCGTAGATGTTTGAAAACCGTAGCTATCGATCAGCTCCATGCTCCAAACGCCAACCCATTCACCTCTATCAACCCTTCCCATCTCTTGGCTTCAAATCCGTTGTAAGACATACGAGCAAGTTATTCAAGGGTGATCATCTTTGAGGTATCAGCAAGAGATGAGCAAACTCACAATGCCATATCTTCCATACAGAATAACAAACCCACATAAGATTCCGCTGGTTTTGTAGGTGAAGAAGTCATGACGACTATTTTATCAGTCGTCCAACCTTATCTCATAATCATTGCGTTGATTTCCAGTAAGATTCAGATTTCGTGTGAAGGGGTATTTTAGCAATTTGCACCGGGTGTGGGAAAGTCGACGAGTATGCTACCGGGATAATGGAGAAGTAGAGCAGGCAAGTTGAAGGTAAAAGGGGACAAGAACAAGGTTTGAGTATGGGGACGATTATGATAATGATTGAGACTCACTTCGTTCTTCTATCACATCAACGGCAGCATGAGCTAAATGATAATGTCTCAATTCATCATCTGATCCAGTGAAAGAATGAACGTAAAGGGGTGCGTTGGAGGGTGATATGATAGCTAAAGAAGTGATTTGAAGAGGTACGGCAGGGATTCTAGAATCCATTTTTGGTCAATGTTGGTCGTTATTTTCTATCGGTTCGTTGACTGGTTGAATCATTCACTCGTTGATCGCTTGAGAACTTATGTCCGTTATCAGCTATCGGAACCTTGCAGTTAAGCAGTTGGATAGGAAGAGAGGGAGTGGAAAGGGAGGAAGCGACGAAGAAGACGTCTGACATTTGACATCCTTTTTTCAGGCACGGTTTCGTACCAAAAAGGAAAGTTGTCGAAAGTAAGTTTGCTTTTCGTCTTGACTTTCTTCTTAAGCTTAACGGACAACGGACAACCCGTTGACAAGGTGATTGGATGTCAAGAAGGAGTGAGAACGATATGACGGAAGACTCTCAAAAGAATAAAAGACGTAGGTCTCAATTCCGACCTTGTATAGATCTACATCAAGGTCAAGTGAAGCAAATAGTAGGTGGGACTTTAGATTTATCTTCCCTCGCTTCGTCTAGTACGAATGGATTAAAGACTAATTATGTATCTAGGTGAGTTCATTTCATCTACTCCTTTTAGTTCAGCTGAAAAGGTCTCTTCCGATGGACCTGAGTCTTTCATCCATCACACCTTTCCTTCCATTCTGTACAACCTCTCCTGTCCTGCTCAGACCGGCTACCCCCCCCCCCCCCCTTCCCAAGAATCCCTATCCTCGTGAAGGAGCAAGTGGACATCCCCGGGGAAATATACAAAGTCATATCGAAACCTACTGACACTAATCAGTCACCCTCCCTCTTACTACTCGACACTATACCGAACTCACAACCTCACCGGAGGTCACATAATCAAGCTCGGATCGTTGAACGATACGGCTGCTCTGGACGCTTTGAGTGCTTGGCCAGGAGGTATGCAACTCGGTGGTGGAGTAACAGAAGATAACGCTGTGAAATGGCTAGAAGCAGGAGCGAGTAAGGTGATAGTCACCAGTTGGTTATTTCCCGAAGGAAAGTTTGATTTGGGACGTTTGGAACGATTAGAGGGGTTAATAGGGAGGGATAAGTTGGTAGTGGATCTTAGGTAAGCGTTTCTTCTTCACTCTCCATAACCTGCGACTTGATTCTCGAGTCGATATTGAATAGGAGATCCATTACTCTCTAGCTTATAGGGGCTCTAGCATGGTCATTTCGAAGGAGATGGGTAGGGGATGGTTGAAAGCTGATACCACAGTTGTAGAAAGAAACCTATCGTTGAACAATCAAAGTCACAAGAGTCAGAATGGGCAGTAGCGATGAACGGTTGGAGAACATTGACCGATATGGAAATTACGAAAAGTATATCTGTTTCTTTCCGCAGGTGAAGTACGTTAAACTAACATAATAGAGAATATAGAAATGATTTCAGCTCATTGTTCTGAGTTATTGGTACATGCTGCCGATGTAGAAGGGTTGTGTCAAGGGATAGATGAAGAATTAGTCAAATGTGAGTTCTAATATCATATTCACACTATCGACTTCTCTTCACTACCCTGACTCTCTTTTACTATAAAAGTATCCCAAACGGGATCCGGCCTTTCCACAGAGTTTGAACTCTCTTCATCCTTCTCAATGGTAATCGTTTTCCATGTCATATGTCTTTTCACATTTTCTCGACTCCCTCCATTCTTCTCTATATGACCTTTCCAAGTCCACTGAACCGTTTCATCCCATAGAAAATGATGAGGATATACCTCTACGTCTGATCATGACTCTTGACATCATATCCCGATTGTTACGTTCTGTGACTTGGTGGAAATGGCTTTGACTGACTTTCAGGTTTAGGCGAATGGACGACCATACCATGTACATATGCCGGTGGAGCCAAAAGTGAGTTTTATTTTACTTACTTCCTCAATTTGTTCTCACCTTTACTTGTTCTCCTCGCACTAGAAATCAAATACAATCCTCTATCACCTATTCACTCTGTACAACCATCCACTCCTACTTCCCCATCCCATTCCACTCCAAGTTTTATCAATGAGCTATCGATTTAAGTCCCTCTCCATCGAATTCTCAGAGATCGGTTATAGACTTTTATAAGTCTGATTTATTCATGTATACTGTCGTCCATCACCACCGACGTTAGTACTCTTTCCAATGAAATGACTGATCATCAGATATCTCCGACTTATCCCTCGTTGACAGATTATCTAATGGGAAAGTAGATATAACATTCGGTTCATGTCTTGATATCTTTGGTGGAGACGTTGAATTCTCTCAGTTGGTCAAAGTCAATCTAGCTCATCAGGAGTAACACCTCTACCGTCTATCCCAACTTTCAGCCAGTCCCTTGGCATACAAATAATACTTTACGAGTACTCGTACTTGTATCTGTGTATACAATACCGACATTCTTCTTCCTCGTACTACCTCATACCTGACAAATGTTGCAGGGTGGCCTGTGGATTTGAGACTGTTCACCAGTATGAGGAGAATTTCTCGGACATGTACAAGGTAGGACTTTGTGGAGATAGATCAAAACTGGTTCAAGAATAGAGAGCATAGAGGGGATCAACTTCACTGTCAAAGCGATGCACACGTCACATGCATTTCAATGCTATGCTATGCTATATCTCTCTCTCTGTACCCTTATCATCTCCAAGCTGAATATCAAGAAATTTCATATCCTAATCATCTTCCCTCGGCGCTCTACGTTTCTTCCCCCTTCCCTTCATCTTCCCAGCAGTCAACACTCTCTCGTCATCTGACACAAGACCGTTTGTCGTTGAAAATGTGGTATCGGGTGTGATGGGAATAGGATCCACTCGAGTGTCCTCATCGTTTGAACTGACAAGTAGAGAACTTGACGGTGGTGAAAGAAGGTTGACATGATTGGTGTGACCATTCGGTTTGCCGTTGACTTTACCGTTCACACGTTTATCGGGTGTACCAACAGGCTCTGTCTCGTCAGTTTTGTCTCTTTTCTGACAAAAGAAAATAGAGAGAAGAGAAAGACGAGTGCTCGAGTTCAACTCACTGATCACAAAACTTCTGAATAACTCTTGCAATTCTTCCATCTCCCCTTTCTCCGGAATCCTACCTTGGGAGGAGACGGTGGGTAAGACCAGATCAGATGTCTCGTCCATTGGTACGTCATATGAGATCGCATCACGTCTCACATCTATCTCGTCGCGGGTGTCTTCTTCCACAGGCCGAGAGGACAGAAATTTATCCATGAACGCATCGAAGAGCATACCTGTAGGTGGAAGCGTATGACTTGGGCCTTCCCAGATATCCATACGTGAGCCTGACGCCTGTGTCGTCGCTGTCTGAGAAGTGCCTCTTTCTAGTTCGGAAACTGTTAAGTCGTCAAAGAAAGCAGCTTTTCCGAACATCTCTTGCCATATCGATAATTTCTTCTCTGACGTCGGCTGGACCGCACGGACCTGGGACGCTTGCGTCTTAGCAGAAATGGACGGACCGAATTGATAGATTGTACTATTTGACGAAATTCCGATGAAGCCAGAGTTTCGCGATTGACAGACGGCGGAGAACGTCTGTGAGATGGAGGTCGTGCTGAGAGGTCGGGGTGTTGTTGGAGAAAAGGATGTGATGAGGGTTCGTTTACTTCCAGGTTGAGAAAGTATTTGAAAATCTGAGGATGATGTTGATGTAAAGAGGTGATTTAGAGCTTTGGTCGGAGCTGACCAGAGTGCTACAAGATCAATTAATCTCAAAAAATGAAAGCACGATAGAGACTCACTCTCGCAGATCAGCAGATCCCACACTGCCAAACCTTGAGTAGCACCAGCGCAGACGAGATAACGACTTTCAGGTCCCGCAAAGCCCACTCGTTGACTTTCACCGAAAGCACCGCTGTCGAGCACTCTAAGAAGAACGTTACTGAAGAGGTCCCATAGTGTGACTAGAGGTCCGTGAGCAAGTGCGAGGATGGTCGAGTCGGCTGAGACGGAGGCGGAGTAGATTGGCATTGACCGATATGAGAACGTCGAACGCAGAGACCAATAGACTGATGATCAGCACGGGTCTTTCGACATTGGATTTGATTTAGTGCCCTCAGAGGGTTGAAGAAAGGGTATCCGCAGCAATAGTAGGACTGTTGAGCTTGATATTTTGTCTCATCTTGGGGCACATGAGAAACCAGGGGGATATTGCTAGACTCACGTTCGGCAGCTGGGTTCTTTTGGACGGACACTTTGCCTGATCATCAGCTATGTCGCTGAACTCTAGGCGATCCACAGATAAGAGAGGCTCAGTATTGCAGTACGTTTGTTCATCAATTTGTGATCAGAAAGACTGAAGTAATGTGTTTGTAAATCATCACAGCCAGAGCATGGAGGAATGACCGGTCCACTTACCTTGCTCGCTTTTCCTAGCCTGACGAGCATGCCATACCTTCGCCTCTCCATCCACGCTGGTCGTCACCAGTAGCGGCATCTGTCCCGCTACCACTTGGGCTTTCGTCACTGATGAGAAACACAAAGACGACACATCACTCGTCCCGTGCGGACGGGGAAATATTGTGTTGAGTACGTACTTCTCTCCCGTCCACTGCCAAAATTTGAGAGTTTTGACCATGCCCCCTTCGTCATCGTTTCCTCTTCGCCCTTCAACAGTAGTCATCCATTTAGACCGGCCATCTAAAGCGGGGGAGAAAACGACATGCTCCACGGCCACGGGATCAAGAGGAGTTTCGTCTCTTTTGGATACGCGATTTGACGGAGCCACCTCGAGATCGAAGGACACCACGGACGTAGCAGGATCGATGAATTGCAAAGTGGATGGGTGAGAAGAAGGGAGGACAACGGCGCCATTAGCTGGGTGAACAGCCAGGGGATATCGACCAGGATTTGAGGGTGGATGTAAGGGATCTGTCAATGAGCTCTCAGAAAGCCTGTGAAAATAAGTCAGACGTACCTATTTTGATAGCTGACCCAACATTATTGATATTACCCGAGGCGGAGCCCACTCTGACGGTGCTGCCATCCAACATTGTCACCCACCATTCCTCTTCATGCCCCCTTGTCCCCGGTCTGACGCTAAGACTGACAATAGGCTTCCCACCCAAGCGAGGCACAAACTCCCGTCTGCCGGAGGCAAGATGCCACTGAACTAAGACGCTCTCCTCGCCCACAGACAACAGCTGCGCTCCAGTCCCCGTGAAAGCGATCGCTGACACCGCATGGGCATGCCAATGCAATGACGTCGTTGGAAGGCGCTTGTCTGTTTGGGAGAGAGAGTCCGGTGTGGCGTCGGACCTGGCTGCAACATTCAGTTGCCGAAACGCTTCGTCTAAGCCATGCCAAAGACGAATAAGACCGTGGTCGTCACCCGTGGCGAACCATTCTTCACCCTTTTCTTTATTGAGGAGACTTTCAGGGGCAAAGGCACCACATGTGAAATTTTGATTGGACACAAATTTGACTTGCGTCATATTCCAATCTTTCGTTTGAGACGGATTGGATGGTAATCGAAAAGTGTACGCCTTGTTAGCAGCTAATGCGACGAGATAGGTGTTACGGGGGGAGATGAAAAGTGCCACTGGCGCTTTTGACAATTTGGAAACGATGGAAATGTTGGTCTTTTCCTTCGTGGTTGGAGACAGAAGGATTCGGTGTATGTGGTAGTTTAGCCCTCCTGAGGGTCAGAGAATAACACCAGATCCGTTTCAGAACTCACCGTTTTGTTGTTTAGAACTGGCTTTTCGTGTGGACGTCGTGAGAAACAACCACCAAGACCCGCCAACCTGACCGGCACATAATTGATGTACGCCCCCATCTTGGACGACAGGGATAGTGCGCACGAGCCTCCCTTCGACCCAATCCCAAATTTTTACGGTTCCGTCTAAGGAAGCGGTGATGAGTTGAAACGGGTTTATGGGGGAAAGAATGAGTGCTGTGATAGGCTTTTGATGACCATCACGAACAGTACTTGAGAGAGTCGAGAGTCGAGGAAAGTGTGGTGCTGAGTAAGAGTGAATATGTATTGAAGTCCCAGATACTACGTGAAAGAATCTACCTCGTCAGCCTCCTGCAAGATACAACGATGGAATTCCTCACTTGCCATCTTTTGACCATATGGGAGGGACAGATGAGACGTCGTTACGAGCGATGGGGATACATTCCCATTCAGCAAATTTTGGATCACCCGGAAAATTTTCACCCCCCAGTTTGTGTCGATCTTTTGACTTCTTTCTTTTTGTTACTACCTTACCAGGTGCTCCCAACGAGGATACTTCCTGATCTGAAGTCAGAGGCAGCTTGGACGATCCCGCTTGGGGTTGATCCAGCTCTTCCTCAACCGAAGTGGAGGGTGGAACGGGAGCTATACCAGAAGAACTGATATCTTTACCCTTTCCCTTCCCCCGTCTACGTCTACGATGCGGATGATTATCATCAGCGTCGACTATTGGCTCTTCCATGATGGATCATGAGCAGAGATGTCGTTATTGGGAGGGAAAGACGGTTCAAAAATCTCTTAGACTTCAACTTTACTTAAATGGGGGGATTGCTCAATTCGGGATCACGTGACAACAGTTTCGACCCTTCGCTTCTTTAGTCAGGTTGGCCAATAGATCTCTTCCTCCCTATAAAAGTATCAAGATGGTGCTAGATTTTGTGCTGCCAGAAGTACATGATAACGAGGATGGATCATGGGGTCCCTCGACTTCTACCCTCCCAGCACAGTTTAAAGAGTATGTCTCGATGATTTCTCTTACAAAGTTGGCCCGTGCTGATGGAACTTTAGCATCCCATACGCCCCATTCTCAAAATCTGACAGGATCACCCGTATCGCCGACTGGCATGAACCTGCACCTGAAGGTGCACCCGGACGTCGCAACTACAACACGAACACTCGTCGTCCTGGTCGTGAAGCCTTCGGAGCCTCTGAAGCCAACGCATTTGGGTATATTCATGATGACGACGACAAGTCTTTCTCCCTCGTTGACAGCGGTAGCAGGCCGTCTACGAGGGGAAGAGGTATGATGCGTGGTGGTCGAGGTGGTCGTGGGTTCACGATTGGAAGGGGGAGAGGTGGTAGGGGTGGGGTCTATCCATCTAGGGGTGGGTTTGGTGGTCGTGGTCGTGGCCGTGGAGGGTATGGGGATTGGAACAAGGTGAGATCAAGCTCGAGTTGACATGGACGTAGTGCTGATGCAGTAGCCCCAACGTATCAGAGACTCCAGTGTTATGATCGGAAGTGAATGGCGGCTTTTGGAAGAGATTGACTTCACTCGATTAGCAAAACTCAATCTCAGCGTCGATGCCCCGGAAGATCTGTAAGCAGCGCGATATCGTAGACGGGTAATTACTGATCATGTCAGTGGAGCACATGGGACTTTGATGCCTTATGATAAATCTTATGACAGGGCGAACACCCGTAATGAAAAACCATTGGAAGTAGTGGATAAGCTCAAATACAATATCTCCACTTCGGACGATCCTATCATTGCCGACGTGAGTGTCAAATGTCTGGTTCTGTAAAACATCCAGATGTGCTCTAACAATTTTCTCCGCTGTCCGTCATCAAACTTCTACAGTCTATAATGTAATGTCAATATTTTGGGGTTACAAAGGCTGACTCCCAGATGTCGGCTAAGAAAGTCGCTCGAATCTTCGCCACAGACTCCATCCTCGCAGTTCTCATGTGTGCGTCTCGTTCTGTCAACTCTTGGGATATCATCCTCGACCGTCGTGGCGATCAACTTTTCTTCGATAAACGTCCTAATGGTCCATTCGACTATATAACAGTAAACGAACACGCTTTAGATTCTCTACCTGAAGATGATGATGATCCGTCCAATATCAACTCACCCTCATCTCTCTCGCTCGAAGCCACATACATCAATCAAAACTTCGCTAATCAGGTCATCGCAGAAGGCAAAAGTTGGACACCCTCGCCAAATCCGTTCTACTCTCCAGAGGAAGAGACGGAACCTTTGGCGTCGTGTTTGTACAGATACAGGAAATTTGACCTGTCCGTTGCTGAGGACGAAGAGTTTGAGGTGGTCGTTAGGACAGAGGTAGATGCGTATTTGGACAAGAAAGATCATTTGATCACTATCAAGGCGTTGAACGAATTTGATCCGAGGGTCAGTAGCGGTGCTAAAGCATTGGATTGGAGGAAACATCTTGACACGCAAAGAGGAGCTATCTTAGCTACGGAGATCAAGAACAATAATGCCAAGTTGGCCAGGTGGTCGGTGCAGGGTATCCTGGCAGGTGCCGAGCAGATGAAGATGGGGTGGGTCATTCGATTTTGTACATCTTAACACCCTTGAGCGCCTTTGGCCCTCCACCCTCTCCTCTTTTACATGAATGTGAGACCCCCAGAATCGACATGGGTTGTGTATGCCTACTCCAATGGTAAATTGGATGGAGACGGGGTGAAACATGCCTTAGAAACGGTGCTGATTGCCAGCTACATCGCCCGTGCCAACACCCGTGATGCCACGAGACACGTCATTGTCGGTGTACAATCATACAAACCGCGAGACTTTGCAGGACAGATGAATATCTCTTTGTCTAACGGATGGGGTATCGTACGTACCATCGCGGATCTAGCTCTGAAACAGCCAGAGGGCAAGTATGTTTTGGTCAAAGATCCCAACAATGTGGGTCCTTTTCGTACGATCATAACATTCCAATCCTCATACCTTCATACCTTCAGCGTCAAGGTTATGCCCGAGTTGCGCTGATTGATAGCCCATTCTGCGATTATATTCTGTGCCCCAGAACGCTTTCGATCTCATCGAGGAGGATACCATCCCGGAGGAAGAAGAGGAAGAAGAATAAGTCTTCGTCTTTGCTCAGTGATCGAGAATATGCAAATATGCTTGGTGTCTATTTGCCCATGTGTACTACGCATTTTCACCAGGGCTGAACTTGCATGATCAGTGACGCATTCATCTTTGCTACATTCTTCTTTCTACCGACTTTCTCGCGCACCTTTGATACGCACGCTTAGTTGATGGCGAGCAACTCGACTAGAAAGTTAGAACACTTTAGAGACATGCGGGAAGAGTGACTGACCTTCGAAGTTGAGCGTAGCGTTGGCCGGGATGACGGGCGGGAAACCACGGGGACCGTATGCTTCTAGTCAGCAAGCTGAACACTTTACTATACTGCAATCGCAAAAATACGGGGTGTTACTTGGACCTTGCTGGGCTAGATCAGAGACGATGAAAAAACGCTAGCAAGTACAGGAGTAGGTGATATGACAGTCGGGACAAAAGTCGAAAACAGAAGCAGTGATTGGTAGGAGAAGAGATGAACTGACCGTAATCCGGGGAACAGATCAAAAGAGCTTTTGTCCCAACGGACAATTTGACCACACCTTCGTCCCAACCTTTAATCACTCTGCCCACGCCGATTTGCGTGACGAAAGGCTACCTGATCAGTTTCGCCCTTCCGCCATCAAGCCTAAGGAGTGAAACAATATCAAAACAGAAAGCTTGTACTGAGCATGACCAGAGTAGTGGAGACGGATATGGGATGAAGTGCAAAGTGGAGAGCGAAGAGAGGTGTATTGAAACATACCTCGTTACGATCCTTGGAAGAATCAAACTTGCTTCCATCTTGCAGTGTTCCCGTGTCTTTATTGTCAGAAAGAACAGAGAGTTAAAGAGTGCTTACAGTGGATTTTGACAGTGTCACCTGATAATGAGCTTTGTTTTTACAATTTTCATTGACACGTTGTTACCATACTCATGGTAGGTACAGACACGTTTCTATCATCGCCATGAGGAAGGGGAAAAGAGGGAAAGGGAATGATTTACCAGGTTTAGGAAAGTTGACACCATCTCCTGGAGTGATAACCTTGATCTCTACACCCATTCTGATTGCTGTGCTTGTGAATGCTCTTTTGAAGTAATGTCGAGATGCAGAACGTAGTAAGAGGGAATTGTACATTCAATCAACGTGGGCGGGAAGGGGGTGAATGCAGCTCATACAGTAAGCTACTCATGTCGGCATTATGACTATTCCCGAATGTGGCAATGATTTTGTGGCTCACCTGTCACTCATCAATGACCACTCTCTGTGGAAGGTTTCAACTTTCCCACCAAGGAATCGACCAGCATGTCTGAACAAGCTGGACCTTCTAGTCCTCCTCAGGCTCTAGGCAAAAGAGGAAGAAATGGGAATGATACCAGATCTCCCGAAAGAGCAGAGAACGGTGTTGAGGCAGAAAATGGACAAAAAGAATTGGAAATGCCTTCTGGGGATATGGACGATTCTTCAGATGAAGAGATTGGACCTATGCCAAGCACTTCCAATGGAGAGATTTCCCTCAAGAAAAGAAAGAAGAAAAGAGCAGGTCAATCATTCCCTATATTTAACGAAAACGTTTGCTGACACCAAGTTTTACCTCACGAGAAATTATACCTCGACCATCTGCCCGACGCTGATAGATATTACAAGTCTTTCATGCATCGTGACAACTTGAACTCGGTGACTATGACAAAGTAAGTGTCCTTCTCTTATCCATTTCCCTCGTCTCCACCTGATCTTGAACGCGTCCGCATGACTTACCTGGAAAGAGTGAGTTGGAACCTGTGTTAAAGATCTAGAACCGGATTTGTCCTCACCACCTCCATCGACGGGTATCTTAAAATATGGAAGAAACAAGAAAGAGGAATAGAATTCGTCAAACAGTTCAGAACTTCTCTCAAATCCATAGTCGCAACTTCTGCTTCAGACGACGGAGTATTATATGCTACTGTGTCAGAAAGTGGGGAAGGAAGAGTTTTTGATGTTGTCAATTTTGGTAAGTCTGATTCTTCCTTTCAAGTTTGGTAAGGGGGGCTAATGGGATAGATATGATAAATATCATCAAATTCCCTTTCACACCAAAGACTTGTTGTTGGATACATCAACCAGGAACTGGACAGACTTTGTTGGCTGTATCGGATGTGTCTTCACCTGCGATAAGAATTTACGACGGGAGAGGGGATGGGAAACCATTGTATGAATTGATCAAGTTACACAAAGCTCCAGTACATATCATCTCCGTGAGTTGTTCTTTTCGATTTGAGTTCAATGAGGAAAGCAAAGCTTATGAGCAGTATACACCAAAATACGATTGTGTCATCTCGGCGGATGAAGATGGGTTCGTGGAATATTGGCAACCTAACGAACCCTGGGGTTTACCTCCTATCCCTGGATTATGGGAATTTAAATCGTCTACGGATTTATATCAATTTAAGAAAGTGAGTTTGACCCATCTTCAGCTAAGTCACCCCACCGATACCCTGTCTGGATCAACTTACTCCGCTGGGTACCCGCAAGCTGGGCCATGTTACTGATCTTAGACCAAATCAATTCCAACTTGTATTACATTCTCTCCTGATTCATCTCATTTCATCACACTCACCATACCTTCTCGCTCTGTACACATCTTCAACTTTCTCACTGCCAAACTCACTAGGACATACGACGAATCCCTCACTGCGACATCAGAGATGCAACAAGCCGGTACGGCCGTTTACAAATTGGATGATATGGATTTCGGACGTCGATTAGCCATCGAGAGAGAGTTGGACAAAAGTGAAAGTGGACCAGGTGGGGCGTTGAGAGCGTGTAATGCTGTATGGGATGAAACTGGCAATTTCATCTTATATCCCACCATGTTGGGCATCAAAGGTCAACTTACCCACAATTTGTCATGGCAAAAGCTGACGTGCAGTGGTGAATACAGTGACGAACAAAGTGGCTAGGGTTATAGGAAAAGATGAAACCTTACGTTTCCTCAATTTGGCATTATATCAAGGTGCGCCAGCCAAGAAAGGAATCACAACATTGGTTGGTCTTTTCACTAATTCTTTTGAACTAAAGTTGAAATGTAGGCAATGGTAGCTTCTGCCAACCCTCTTCTGCAAGATAAAGCTCAACGCGATCCGCATCTCTTCGTGACAGGTTACAAAAAATCAAGGTTTTATCTTTTCGGTAGAGGCGATCAGGAGTAAGTCTAGCTATCCAAGCGTTGAACGTCAGCTGATGTGAAGGGAAACAAAATCAGGAGAAAGAGATGTATTCAATGAACGTCCAACAAGGGAAGAACAAACCGTCATGGTCTCCGAACCTGTCAAAGCTAAGGTACTCCCTACGAACGCTACTATACATACCACAATGGGAGATATACATTTGAAGTTGTTCCCCGAAGCGGCTCCTAAGGCCGTAGAGAATTTTGCGGAACTCGTCAAGAAAGGATATTATAATAATCTCGTGTTTCATCGAGTCATCAAGAAGTTTGTGAGTGGCTCATGAAATCAGCCCTCCTCCTCTTCCTTCTATTCCTTCCCTTTCAGACTCACATCATCACCTGATATTCCCTGAGACTTGATTTTCCACCTGCCATTGCTTCTCAGACCTCATCAGTTCATCAAAATGTTTATGGCAGCTGTTTGTTGGTAGTGGTATGAGGACAGACATCACGAAAGGAAAGATCACGACTCACATACAGATGATTCAAGGTGGTTGTCCGTTCGGCGATGGAACAGGCGGAGAATCGATCTGGGGAGGGAATTTTGAAGATGAATTTTCCCCTTCGGCAAGACACGACCGACCTTTTACTCTGAGTATGGCGAATGCTGGTCCGGGAACAAATGGGAGTCAGTTCTTTATCACTACGGTGCCTACTCCATGGCTGGATGACAAACATACGTGAGTTGGACAGCATGTCGGTCCTGTCTATCCTACCTCTAAATTCCCATGTGTTTCGCTGCTGTCGTCCTCTCAGCATCTGGCAACGGATCACTTCTCAGTTTTTACACTTCAACAATGTCCTCTCCCTCAGGCCTTCACTGCTATTCAGTATGAATGACGGTCTCCTCTTTTCGTGGCGACATTTCAAACTTGTCATGACCGCCTTTCCACAGCCCAGCATGAAGTGTACGCTGACGCATCGCAGATTATTTGGCCGAGCGGTCGGTGGATTGGACGTCATCACAGAAATCGAGAATGTCAAAGTTGACAAGAATGATAAACCATGGGAAGATGTGGTGATGCGTTCTTTGGAATGTTTTTGATGCATAATGTGTGTCATCTTTAGTGTTACAGCTCATCTCGTACTAAATTACACTACTCCCACCTGACCTGGATATGTCTCCACAATGCTCATCTCTTCTTCAATGATGTCTACTCGATACAGATGTTCTACTACTGTATTTGATTCATGTCTATCGTCGCTTCTCGTTTGGGTCATAGAACTTTCACAAAACTCGTCTTCCTTGTCTTTGTCAGTTGGGTTGGATTTGACTTGTCTTTGTCACTTGGTTGAATTTAAGTCGCAGCTACAGGCTAGGAGCTACTAGCTACTTCTTGAAAGAACGTCGTCTGACTTCAAATCCTTTCGCCCCATCTAGAGCTGCTTCAATGTCGGATTCACTCGCTCCTGATATCTCTTTCATCATTTCTACTTTGTGTACTTCCGCCGCAGGGGGTCCTTGTTCAAGATATCGTTTCCTGATCTTAGTACTTCTCACATTTAATCCTACTTCTCTCCAACTATTCAACTCTGTTCTTCATACTCCATCCCATCTCTTCATTCACCCGGGGCGGAATGACCAAAAGATGCAAGGGGAAGATGAACTCACAACGCCCTGACATTATCTGAAGGTCCAACGACCACACCCTCAACACTTTTATCAGGATGATTCCAACACCAACCTCTTAATCCTAAATCTTTAGCTCGACGTTGTACGAAAGATCTAAAGTTTACTCCCTATCATAAGCCATATTCTCCTGTGATGGCTGACTACTACTAACTTGTACGACACCTGTACTTTTGACGATCAGCTCATTTCTCGTTGTGAAAGAATGACGGACGGACACTTTGAACTCTATCAAATCTACCATGATGTGCTCTGTCGATACCTTGGTTTCACTGTGGCAGAGTTAGTCCATGCAATGTGAAGGATAGTTCGCGTGAAAGGTAGAAAGTACTCGAGTATGACCGAAGAAATCCGATGGAAGAGATATGACCGGTTAATGGAAATAACCGGTAACTCACACCTTTCTACTCTACCATAACCCCGCAACGTGGGACGGAGGTGATCCATTATTATTATTTCTTCGACTCTGTCTGAGATAGCTCAGATAAGCCTCTCAAAATAGGTAGATAAGGAAGAGGAGCGACCCTATGGAGAAAACCATATTGCGAGTTACAAGAAAAAACCATGCCTCCTAGACTCAAAACGAACGGACAGAATTGGAGAGGAGGGATACAGAAGAGGAGATTCGTTTCATTTCCCAAATTGTTCCCATCTCCACCTTTGGATCCAAGAAGAAAAGCTTCCACCACCGCTAATCAGACCGATTGGCTGGCTTGGTTGAGGAAGAAAGCGGAGGGAGGAGGACAAGGTGGTAAGGCGCTTTTGTTCGCTGGTCTTGTGCGTGTTTTCCATATCTTCAATCTTTTCTATATCATTTCTCCCCTCTCTCTCCTCTTCTTAACCCTCCTTCTTGGGCTCATGTCCCTGACTACGTGTCTCAGTAGTAATTCCCAACTCCCTAACCTTGAAGAGACTCTATAAGTGGGAGGGAGATGATAAGTGACGACAAAGCAAAACTGTTGTGTTTACACTTCTAACGTCAGGGATCATATCCCCACACACCTCATTCCCCAACTCCATCAAGTTTAGCGATATGGGAACAAGCATCCGAAGCGCTTTTGACTCCCGATACCTCTTTGTTATACGATACAAAAGGTATGGAAGAATTTGCCGGTATTCTCCATGGTACTCGCGGTGTGAGAGGTTGGATGAGAGGTTGGGTCAAAGGTCGAACGTTGGATGAATTGATGTTACGGGCAGATGTTACAGCTGCTTTCATTTTGAGTTCTAGTATCGCCATCTTGGCGAGCGAACAGGTTAGCTCGACCTAAGACGAGAGTGTATACGAGCTGATTTATATACAGGAACATACCAATGGAGAGGGGTTGATACCTTCTGGAGTGACACATTTAGTAGGACATGGATTTATAGGTACTCTGACGGCTTTGGTAGCTGCTGGAAGGATTGATCTTCCAACTGGTGTTAGATTGGCGGTAAGTCGTTTTCTTTCATCCTCTGTACCAAAAACAGAAGTGTGAGGAAGTTCGGAGACAATCGGAATATTCAACAAGGAACTATGTTGATATAGCAGAGGATGTACGCTTCTTTACCTGCTTCACCTGAAGGAGAAAACAGAAAGTTCATGACCACGGTTCTTTCTGCTAGACAATTCCATTCGCTTTCTCATCCTGAAGATTGGACCTTGGAGGGGAATCAAGGAGAAAGTTCGTCGGCTCCGGAAAGAAGAAGAAGAGCTATGCAATTGATTTTAGATGAAATTCATGAGATGCAGAGGGAATGGGAGAAAGATGGACAAGGTGAATGGGCAGAAGCAGGTATTATCAACAGTAGTAAAGTGTTGGTTGTGACGGTAAGTCCAAACGCACCTTACCATTCTTTGTCTCTTCCTCGGCCTTCTTCTTCTTCTCCTACGTATGTTGATTTTCCTTCTCATGTACCACTGTCTACTTTCCCGGTCTGTCCATCTTGACTGGGAATTCCACTCGTTATATAATATGTAGGACACAAGTTGTTGACAGAAATAGGGGACTCATGACGCTACTTCGCAAGTCATAACTAGACTTCAAGTACTTGGTCTCGCTAATGAAGTTATGGACGTACCCATGCCGTGAGTTCTTGGATCGTTCGAGTTTGTCTGACCTTATCAAACGGAGCGGTGAGCTGATCGAAGATGTCCATTCAATACTAGACTCATGGTTCATGCTCAACCATTATTCCGAGACATCTTGTCAAGAGCGCAATTTAATCCTTCTTCCACGCCGGAGATTACAGTCATGGATCCATGTACCACCCAACCTGTAAGTCATTTTCCGTCTTGCCAAAATATCTCATTTGGCTGTATTCTTTTATCTTCAACCTTACTACATAGTCCGATTGAACCCTGAGTGCGCGCCAAGTACAAATGACGATTCCCTCCCTATTATCGATGTTTGGACACAGCGATTATCTCCATTTCCATGGTGTACGTATCAGTGTTGTCTGTTGCAATACGACTACATGATGTGGTGTCTTGAGAACGCATTATTGATATCAGATCGGTCACCTACCTCAAGCTCTCGAAACACATCTATGTAGTCAAGTAAGATGGCATAAAACCCTCTCTCAACTATGTTCCGACCCTCTGCCCCAAGTTGGGGCGTTTTACACGGTTGGGAAAGGTGCCAAAGGGTTGGGGGTGATGCTCAGGGGTGAAATCAAGAGACGGGTAGAAGGTGCTCCAGAAATTGAGGTGAGGGAGTATGGAAGGGAAGAGGAAGATGAGTGGGTGAAGAGAAAGTTACGTTGAAAGTTGAGACTTCCTCCTATAAAGTTGATCTTTTCCGCAACGATCCATCAAACTGAACTTACGAGACAACGACAATCAACGAGACGATCATGATTTCAATACATCTAGCAAAAGTTTGATACATTGTTTTGTGCATGTAATTATCCTATGTAATCAACTATCCCGAGGCAAAAGGAGTGTAAATGAGTTGCTATCACAATTATTGCAGGGGACAATGATTCTCTTAAATCTCGTCAATGAAGAAAAGTGAAAGTAACGACAGGACATCACGATGCATTCAAGCTGAATTAAGGAGTGAGAAGAAATGGTCTAAATACCAACCCTGAAAATGTGTTCACATAGGCGAAACACCCTCTTCTTGGCTATTGTGTTTCTCCTGCACAGCCATGGCCACGGTGGAATCACGGACGAAACCGATTTGTTCTTCTTGGGAAAGATCCTCGAGGGTGAGGTTTTTGGTTTCAGGGAGGAGGAGAGTTCTGCGGATTAGTATCGAGTTCCTTCTCCTGGATAGCAGCAGGGCAATTACACGTCATAGTTGAATGCTTATGATCCCACATACGAGAAGGTACAGTCGTGTATGGACCGGGAACAGCGTGCAGCGTGCAGCGGGAAGGGGACAGAGGAGGTCTCGGTAAGAGAAAGCAGATGAGAGAAAGCAGATGAGAAAAAGCAGATGAGAAAAAGCAGATGGGAAAAAGCAGATGAGAAAAAGCAGATGAGAAAAAGCAGAAAAAAGAATACTCACGAAGCAATACCAGTAGCCATGAACAAAGCGAAAATTTCCAAAATGTGTTTAAGGAATTTACCAGTTCCACCAATATTGATCATACGTGAGAAACCAACTTGAGAGATGATAGCTCCGATTTTTCCCGATGCGGCGGAGATACCGTGGGCGGTGGAACGATAACGAGTCGGGAATACTTCACCTGGGATATTAGTATATGGTGGAAGATGTCATGTGTCTGAGGGGAGAACTTACCGGGGACGATGAAAGTAGTAGTGTTTGGTCCAAAGTTCTATCATCAGCAAATGTCATTCTTACTCCAAAACATGTGTCAAAACGAATCTCTTCTGGTCTCCTTGGTTACTCGCAAGATACGGTTGATGAATTGTGAAGTGATAGTGATCACTGGAAAGACGATGCGGAAGACGGTGATGTCAGGATAAGTGAAACGACGACTCACTTGGAAAAAGTTTGCCATACAATACAAAAACACGAAAGCTTTCTTCCCACTATCCGTCTTTTGCATAGCATCATATCCGAATCCCATACAAACGAAAATTACTGTCAAAACTGAGAAACCCATTAACTGGATAGGTTTCCTTCCCCAAGAATCTACCAAAGCCATTGTGAAGTAATAACCAGGGATCAAACCACCCACAGCCAAAATGATGTTTCCCACAGAGACATTGTATAACGATTGATAAATGTTGAAAGATTTCGTTCCACCTGTGTATGTACCAAAACCGATGGTTTTGAGAATGACGGAAGAGTTCAAACCAAGACCGTAGAAAGCGACATCAAGAGCGAACCAAGACCATGCTGTTCCAAGGAGAACTTTACCGTTTTTCCATTGACCGAAATGACGGATGAAGTCTGACCAAGAGGCGACGGGTACTTCGGCACGTTCGACATTGTGAATAGGATCCACAACGTAGGTTCCGGTGGTAAGATAAGTGTCCACGTCTTGAGAGGCTTGTTTGATGTTACGTTCTACATCCATGGTGTATCGAGGAGTTTCAGGAATGGTGAGACGGAAGTAAAGAGCGATGGCACCGGGTACAGCACCGAGTCCAATGACGAATCTCCAACATTGGTCGACTGAACGGAGATGAGTGACGGGTTCGTTGATGATGGAGTTTTTGTAGGCCGAGACGACGATGACAGAGACGATGGCGCATGAGACTAATGAGTTAGCCCGGTGGATGTTCAGAATAGAAGACCAAATACACGGAACACATCAGGAAGTCAAGGATATCGAGAAGAGAGGCAATACCGAATGCCAAAGAAATGTCATAGGGGCAGGGAAGAGAGTTCGGTGGACTCACAGTTACCCCATCCTTGAGCGGAGAAAGTAGCAGCCATCATTCTACCACGGATACGTCTCGCGGCGAACTCCGAGGTGATCACAGCCGACAGAGGATAATCTCCACCGATTCCCATGCCCATGACTATCATATCAGCTTCTTTGCTCTTCCTCAAACGAACTGTGTTCACTGAAGCGATACATCACCAACACTCCGTAGATATTGACGCCAGGTGCTTGACCAGCGACAGCCTGACCAAGGGTCCCGATGATGATGATGATCTGTCGGTCAGGTGGACATCTTCGGCCAAGAAACATGACGCAAGAACCAAGAGTAACGAGACCGAGACGAGGTGAGAAACCACGAGTGTGAGAGACTGACGACTGTGAGGATCACCGGTCGTAGTATGACTGAGGAATTTGGCAACGAAAGACTTACAAGTTCAAACCCGTACATCCTTTTCCTACCCACATGATCCGCCAAGTAACCGAATGCCAATTGTCCAAACACCGTCCCGACGGAATGAGCGACTTTGATCCCAAGATCCTGGTTAGAGGTGTTGGATCCTCCAGCGTGGTAGACATAACCTATCATCCTGTTTTGTCAGTGATCCAGTCTTCTCTCACCTTGATTCGCAAAGAGGAGCGACCCTCTCCTCGTAGATTTTGAGGGTGAGATGAACTCACTGAGCAGCGATAGAAATTCCGAAAATGTCGTCTTCACATAAGCCTCTTTCCTCACGACGTTGGTAAACTCACAAGCATCGGTGAAGAAACCAACACCAGCGACGATACATGCTTTGACATGAAACCAACTGCGAGTCAGCTTGCGTCTCCTCTCCGGCAACTGTCACGTTCCTAGACCCTTCTCTTATCTACCATCCACCGCATGTTGACCGTATGATGAACATTGCACCCATAGAGACCAGACGGATCCACTGGATAGATGTACGATAAAATGGGTAGTTCAATCAAGTGTGGAGCGGGAGAAAAGATGAAGAGACATACGAAAACTTGGCCTCGTCAATCTCTGCCAAAGCAGCTCTTCTACGTTCATCCGCACTTATAGCCACACTGGCATGATGTTTCTCACCTTCCAAAGACATTTCTCAATCTTTTATCTTTTATCTTTCCTCCTTGAATTTCGTTTATCCAAAATTGATCTTCAAGATCAGAAGAAAGATGAAGAAGAATATCGAGTAAAAGTTCCACACTTTCTTGACCACGCTTTAAGTATCTGAGGTGGAGGGGAAAAAATCGCTCCAATGGCTGTCAATTAGGAGTAGTCGGCAGAAAAAAGAGCCCTGGAGGAAGACCTGCAGGCTACAGGTCACAGGGAACGTATCTCCGTCCGCTACCTTTACCCTGTATCCCTTTGTGGGTCTGTAATTCGTGGGTGACGTGAGCAGACGGAAGGGGGTTAGACGTTAAGGGGGATATACCGAGGTAGAGGCGAGACTGAATCAAGCAAGTGGGGAAGCTTCACACGTTCTTGGCATCATGCTGTTCGACCTGCCGTCCACCGTCCACGGTTCACCGGATCACCACTAATCACCCGGGAATGTCCGGCTGGACCTTCCATTGGGAGAATAGGAGATGCCGCAAAGGGCGGAGTGAGAGAGACTGACGTGATATTGGTTAAGACACCGGTACACCGGGACATTTGATAGGAGCATGATAAGACGCACGTTCGTGAACAACACGTTTGATCGGTGCCTGAAAGGAGGTTGAGTTACTGTTATCACGTGTTACCCCGCGCGGACCATAAATTGCTGTTCTCCTCGGTCTATCTGTACGCGATCTGCGAAAAATCCAAGCCCTCTAGGCAGGGGGAAGGATTCAGGTCGTTCAGTGGATGAGGTGACCCGGGGGACAACGTCTTTAGTCTGGTCGCAATTTCTGAAAAAGGCACCTTTCATTCCAAATGATTTTTCCATCTCTAACTCACTATTGAACATTCATCATGCAAACAACAATCAAAGTATGCTACATAAACACAGCTAAATCTTATGGAAATGTCTCACAATGCTACCGTCTATCATATTAGCTTTGAACAAAACCAACGACCCGAGACTTACCTCAACAAGTTGGATTAACCCTCTCGATCCCAATGCCAAAATCGCTTGATCATTCCTAGCCAATCTCAACGCTTTCATACCATTCTCTTCTGTCACTTCGCATAATCTGCCAGTTGGTTCATGTCGGACCTCCGCCCGACCTGTCGAGTCGTCAAAGAATATAAGATAAGGATCACGGTAGACGCAGTAGGAAGCAGCGACGTTCCATCGGAGGATGACACCGTTTCTGGTGACTGTGCCGACTGATCATCAGTATGATGAACATCCATTAATAGAAGGAATCAAAGATAGTGCAAAGGTGAAAAACCCACGCTTATCCACATAACAGCCTCCCCAATCATACACCAACAAAAACTCTTCCTTTCTAACCTGATACATCCCCAAAGCAGTTCCATGACTTGCTAACCTGACCACTGGAGCATCTTGAGCTACGTCATGAGGAAAATGGGGCAGATAATTCTGGTTCGGATTACCGGGTTCGACAACGACAAAACCTTTCTCCGTGACGGCAGTGATGGTGACTCGAAAGAATAGGATTTCAGATGCGTAACCTGATACTGATAAAGTTGAGAAATGTCTGAATGCAGGAGAATGAGGATCATTTTGATACAATGGTTCATGAAAGCTCAAAAGGGTGGAATGGGAGTTGCTGTAATATCAACATCCATCGCAAACGTTTAGATGAGTGACATGTGGAAAGAGTATTGAAAGAAGTGGTGGAACTCACCGAGAATGAACAGCGTAGACGATGAGAGTACGACCCTTCATCTTCCCTACTCTGACAAAAGCCACGACATGTTCTGGAGCGCTAATTGTCTCGCCTTGTATCGTTCCCTTCATTTGCCAAGTTGAAGGGCTGAACGTTGGTAGCATGTCCGCCAAGTTATAAGCGTACAAAGCATGAGCTCGAAGTACGAGTAACCAAGGGAAATCAGGGATGATAGTGAGAGTGGTTATCGTGCCAGTGGCAAATCTGATCATCTCCTGATACGCTACAGAGTCAGTCAAATGTAGATAACAGGATGGTAGATACTCACAGACAGGATCACGCCGCCAACCGATCCAGACAGAACTGGCACTAGCTACTGCCAAAGTTTCTCGGTCTAACCAAGTGAATGTCTCTGCCGTTGTGATGGGATCACGAACGATCGATGGTAGGTGAAGGATATGAACAGCGAATATCTGTAAATAAGCGCTACTATCTTGATAGAAAGATGAGGCCAACGCACACGGTTACTCTCCAGATCAAACTGTCGAAGGCGCTTTGTATTCTCAATCATGGCCTTCCACTCTTCTCTGATCATCAGCTTTTGGAACGAATGATGCGATGTGTTGACGCTCACCTCGCAGCTTCAGTGGCCGTGCACAAGGTATACGTCCGTCCATGAGCCCCAGTAGAGATGGTAAAGGGATACATTAACCTTTCTGGTCCGATAGCAGGAAGTCTATCACATCAGTAAGAAATTGATCCACCACTATGATGCTCACTGTTCACCACCTGACCGTCTACGATATTGTGTGATGAAGTCATACCGCCTCTCGGGTGCTCCATCAGCGGAAACAAGCTCCAAGATGTCTAATGGAATAGGCTAGCGGTCAGCTGCAGAAAAGACAGGTAAAGCTGGCATACTCTGGAGACAATGACATATTTCCCATTCTCCTCATCTCTCGTGAGAAGGAGATAATTGTCCAGAAGAAAAGCATGCAAGTCTTGCCTGACTATCAGCAGGCCTTCGAAGTGGAGGACAATGCCGCAGGTGAAGCTCACCATAAATGCCAATTTGTCTCGCTACGAACTCTGCGGAAAACATAGGCAGAATGAACAAGGCTTCTCTTTGGGTCACCCAGCTCGAGATCCTTCATCATTAGCTATACAAATAATCCGATATCACCAGCTTACTACGATCTCCCCCTTTTTGTTCAGAAGCCGCTCAGCGACGTTCCAAAGTTTTATCTTGGATTCCGCACTCTCGATCCCGGGCTAAGAGGATCAGAAGATGAATTGATCAATCAGAAAATTCCTGACCTGGCTACTTCTCACTACTCGGATGAGCACCGCTACCACGGTGGGTATCGCTTCCTTGTCTGGATGGTCCACGGGGGTGACTTTCAAGATTGCCTCGAGGAGTAACAATATCCTAGGCAGACGGGTGAGAGGTCTAGAGAGGAAGACTGACTGAAGTGTCAGCTAAATCAATCGACGTCACTCACGAGGTCCCTTCTCCGCGTGAGTTCCATGTTGTTTCGCTCTTTCAGAAATTGCTGGAACCCCGGATTGGTCAAGACTTCTCTCTTAACCCGAGATTCGGCAAATGGGTAGTTTTTCATATACTGCAAATGAGCTCTGTGAAGGTTGACCAGCTGTTCGACCTACTTGTTCATATAACTCCGCAGAGGTCAGAAATGAATCCAGCAGTAGATCGCTAACGGAAGTAATTAACGGCCATTCTGCTCTTTGCCTCTCCATAAGTCTATCGAGGAGACGGATATGGGCCATTTGTATGGCCTGAACGGAACTAAATACCTCTGCAATGAAAGCATCTAATTTTTCTTTTGATGAGAACAACAATTGGTCTGCAGTTCTAAGAGGTTGTATAAACACCTGACATGTCAGTAAGCCATGACCAGTCATTGGCAGACCGCTTACCTCGCTTATCGTGTGCAAATCTTTAACATATTCTCTCTCACCACGTACCAACTCCCACCATAGACCCTGGCGACGAACCTCTTTCTGTTCCAGGGATTGCACAAGGAGAGGGTTGACCAACTCGTGCCATTCCAAATTGGCAATGTCGCCTCCGTGTTCGGTCATGGACGTCAATTGTGACAGTATGCAGGTTCATGACCGGAATGTGAGCCGGAGGAATCAGAGTACGACGCTGATTGGTAAGAAAGTAAAAGCTGGTATGAATCGTTTGGGTTCAAGCGAGGTCTACCCGATTGGTTCTGAATCATTAGTAGGTGACAAGTGACTTCGGTTGAATACTGACCGTTGACCGGCTTGGCAAAGGAGGTGTGAGAATTCCTTGAAGAGAAGAGGGGAGTGAATGATCTCGTAGCAGTGGCGGATGTGGATTAGATGCATCGGATTGGGGGGGCTAGTGATATCAGCAAATGTACTTGGTCTTATGCATGAGCTCGCTCACCGTTACTCGTAGTCCGTCTGTACCAACGACACTGGGATCTATCCAGCTATACGAATCTTGTCCCTCATCCTCTGGATCACTATCGATGTTCCAGTCATTCGTGATTCCATTCTCGTGTCCATCTTTAGAGGGTCCAAGGAGGTTTGATGTAGGTGAAAGAGGTTTTATCTGCTCTTCTTTCTTCTTCCCCCCTAAAGACAGATGCCATCGTAGCTTCCCCAAACCTTTGTGCTTGTTCTTGGGGGATGATTCTTGGGAAGAAGGTCCTGGAGAGGGATGATTTAATAATGGTCGAGGAGGAAGATCATCATAACGTACACCTAGAGGCATGCGTAGAGGAGTGGAAGTGGACATGGGTGAGGAAGATGTTGCGAAGAGGTGGGTGGACGGAAATTGCAGTGGCGATGACCTCATTTTAATTCCGTCGGAATGTGGGGCTCCGTAATCCCCGTCGGAAATGTTACAAGCGAGCCCTGCGCCCCGGCAACCCGAAGCCTACCAACAACTGTCTGTATGAGTACTCGTTAACACGAGACGCTCGAACACACGAACCTTTCGAACAGCCTCTGATCTCAAGCAGGACGAATTTCTAGGCACCAAAACCTACCGGGCGTCAGCGCAGAGGAGTGTTCGAACAGGTCGTGTGTTCGAACGACTCGTGACTACGAGTATTCATACGTCTGTATCCGTACTGGTATATCGTAGCCTACCAGCAGAACCACTGCTCAACACCTTTTTCTTCATGCAAGATCCTAGTCATTCCATCGGGGCTGACGTCTTACCATCTCCCGTAACGTGGGACAAGGTCAGACAGTCGGAGGTATTTGACAAGGAGGGGAACAAGATCATATTTGGTGATCTGGTGAAAGACAAGAGAATGGTGGTCATTTTCATTCGACATTTCTGTGAGTTCATCCCCCCCTTTTTCGTCGAGACGCTACTTCGTACTGTCAGACGAGATCTTGACCCGTCACCTAGATCTCACTGATGACAGGGTGTGGTAACTGTCAAGCTTATACGTCTCAACTGGGGCAACAGATCCCCCCTTCGTCTTTACCCTCTGGCACCTCCAGTAAGTCGTCTACTCACACTCAACTTTCCAATGACTTCATATTCCCCTTTTGTGTCGAAACGGACTCTTTATCTACAAACCGTATTAATGATCTGTCCTCAAGCTACGAGTGAAGCATGAGTGAACGTAATGCTGACAACAGTCATTATCATAGGATGCGGTTCATACCAACCTATCCAAGCTTATCAAGACCTGACCAACTCCCCTTATCCCATCTACGCAAATCCGTCATTATCACTCTACACCGCTTTACAATTCAGCTCCAAATTAGCCGGCTCAAAGAAGGGTGAAGAAAAGGAATACGAAAAGGATCTCGGAGGTTTGTTATCGCGAACATGGACCAGTTTGAAGAATGGACCAGGAAAGAATTTTGGACATGTGGGAAGTGTTGGACCGAAAAGTCAGAATGGAGGGGAGATGATTGTAGAAGCGGGTGAGTGATCTATATTCTGACTTTTATCTCTCTCGTCAATCGATTACGACTCGACTTTCAACTCTCTTATGCCCATCACCTGTATCACTGACCCCTTACTTCATGTTGTTCTCATTCCTCCTATCTTACCACACAGACCTGGGTTTGAAGCCTATATGTTTTTTCTCTTTGATCTCCAAGTTGAGTAAAGCAAGATGGGTTATTTGCTGTGAACCTTTGTGAAAAAGACAGCGCGTGGTCTGAGGCTGAATTCAGATGGAATATGTTCTTGGATACATCGAATGCAACATTCTGCCGATCATACCGAGATCTCCGACTTGGCCAAGGTCATCGGATCATCGGCATTGAGTCTGTCACCCAGTAAATCAACATAGTAACATCGTCTCACTGGCCGGATTCCCTCGCAAGATTACCACCCACGCAGCAACGACAACATGTACCAGATAAGACCATTCTATATGAACATAACCCCGATGATTGTCTCAACATCTCATATGCCCAATCCATCTATTGTGTATGTATTTCATGCATTATTCACCGTTGTGCAATACCTCAAGGAATTGCGTCAGAAAGTGAGGGTGACGATATCAAATAGTAGTGGAAGTTTCCAAACCCCCCGCAAAACTTTTGACCCATCGTCTCCACCACCCTTGACCACTCCCCACCACTTCGCCTCCCCCAGCTTGAGCCACACCGCCACCACCACCACCGACCACCCGACCGGTATCTCTGCTCCGAAGGTGAGAAGCGGGGAACAGGGATGAGCGGAGATACATAGACGAGGCGGATAGGAAGATACCTGCCCAACCCCAAAGAGCACCTTGTATCAAGGGTGAAATAAGCTGAGATGAGCTCTCAACTCCATTTCCTGCTTCGTTCGTGACATCGTTCACCGCATCCTCGCTGGTAATTACCCTTTTGCACATATAGTAGTTATTCCATGATAGGTAGAATGAAACATTTCGCACCTTACACCTTCAATCTTGTAACACGGCAATACACATCTGAGCGGATGACATGAATTAAAAGTGAGGACTTTTTGCCGAAGGGAGAGAATATGGATTCATCTGATGGAAGGACACGAGGGCGAGAAGTGATCATAAAGACAGCTGTTCAAAGAGTTGAAAGGATAGAAATCAACTTACTTGATCACGAAAAGTTATCCAACCAACTTTGCCCCAATCCACTCGGACTTTTCTACCCCAATGAAAAACCTCGTCATTTTCCGCACCAGTCACCAACCCAACATCCAATTCTTCTTCTTTCTCAGTTGAAGAAGGTATGGGACCTTTCTCTGAGATTGTCTGAACGGTAGGAATAGGATGAAGGAAAGGTCGGATGGAAAGAAGGTATGACTAAGATATTAAGATTTATTCTCCTTCTCCTCCTTGGGCAAGTTATTCCGCACAATGTGTCATTTACAATGCGAGTCATGAGAATGTTCGAACTGTTACCAAAAACATTATATATACTCAAGGTGTGAATAAAGATACGAATGAGTAAAAAAGTTTGGAATGGACTCGAGTATTGGTTTGGGTCAGAAAGTGAACGAATAAAGTAGTAGCATGAAAGCAGATAAAGCAGATCTGAAGTCAGAAATAGGAGAGAGATGGAAGAGAGTGATTGGGGTAAAAAAGCAGAGTAAGAGGGAAGAGAGAAATCATTTACTTGTTCAAATCTCAAATCAGGTAGAGGAGGCATATTCCCCCTAACCCTCTTTCTACCTTCTCTTCTACCTTTTCTTTCATCATCATCATCTGATAAATGGTCCATATCCATCGAAGGGAAAACATCTCGGGAAGAAGAAGGATCGTAGATTGCTTGACCGCGGGAAGAACCAGGTATAGGTAGATGAGAAGGGTTGAGGGTTGTCATGATGGAGTAGGAGTTTTACTAAGCTAAGTGTGACTAACAGTTATAGAGTGAAAGCCGAGTAGAGGGAGGGATGGATGGATGGAAAGAAGTGAAATCGTCAATTCCGGCGTGGGGTAGTTGCGTGCAGAAAATCAGGTTCCGTCATAACATTTCATTTTTGAGGATGCATGCACTTTCGCTACTGGCTACAACACAAGTGACGATAGGATTTTGATAGATCCACGACACTAAGAAGAAGACGAAAACGGCGAGAATAGATCTAATCTTTGAAATGTTTCTTGATTCCCCCACCTTTGAATTGATAGTAATGTGGTCTGGACAATCAGCATCGTCAACCTACTACTTGAATTTTTATCTTCCTTCGCCACCACTGCATCCCTCTCACCGCTTTGATTCCCTCCCGGGTCGGAAATAGATGAGCGACACGACTCAAGAGTGAACGCGTGTTAAAAGTTGAGTAAAGAAACTGAGGCTCGACGCCTAGGATGAAGACACAGGTATAGGATAAGAGTAAAAGGAAGAATTGAGGGGCAAGGAGAAGCATCGAAAACCCACGCTAACTCGACCAACCATTCTTCCTCCACAACGGTCAGATCTCTCATAAACCTTTTCGTAGTCTCTACGACCTCGTGATAAATCACCCATCCCGTCGAAGGTTGTCTAGTGAACATTACGGAATTAGGATGGACGTGAAGTATGGCATTCTCCCTTGCGGAGCGATATGATCCGTCTGGCATCATCCTAGCTGCGTTCTAAAGGTCAGTATGTGATCTACTCCTCGTCCGATTTAGTCATTTGAGAGGATGTTGAATGACTCTGAAAAAAAATGAACGCACCTTGAAATACCCAGTAACTAAACATTTCCTCAATCTTACCACATCGCCCTCACAGCTCTGTATCTTTATTCCGAATCTTTCTAAATACTTTTTCAACTGTTTCCGGATACTCATAGCTCTCGAAAGAGCTTTAAAGTTTAACCGATGGTTGCCGCACCATGATTTGTCTTTTGCGCCAAATCTGGTAAATGCGTTGTAAGCTGAGGTCAGCGATTCATCCTTGAAGAAGCAATCTCCGCATCCAAGGGGATACGATCGAAGGGTAGAGCTCAAAAGTTCAAAGCGCGGGGAGGGAGGAACCGAGGCAGTGAGGGTAGGTAGACACCGAGTCAGCATTCGGGAGATGACTCACCGTTGAGAAGAGTCAAGTGATCACCTTCCTCAGCGGTAAATTTTCGTCGTTCCAATTCCGCCATAGTAGCTTTCATACCTCCCGAAGGTTGGATGAACACGTCCTACTTCATCAGCAGAATTCATATTCCATTTCCGGATTCAAACTCACTTGGACAGACGTCATAGCAGCTATAGTCAAGATCTCCTCGCTGCATTTGAACGCCGCAGAGTTCAACAACTAGACCGTTAGTCCATACACTTGAATTGGCGACATGATAGGCAACTCACGATAGCAGCCATCATCGGGTCTAAAGGAACTTCCGCTATCCTCTCCCCTAACGGTCTTGTCAATCTTCCTTCATCATCAATCGCTTTTAGACAATACAAAAATTCCAAAGCGCGGATCATCATCTCGCTAGATGGTGGACTGAGAAAATCAAATTTGGCAACATTATCTATCCCCAAAGCCTTGAGTTGTAAGAGATACAAACTGATATCTGATCTTGTCAACTCCGGTGGGGTTTGTAGTGGCATGGGAGATCTGGGATTCCGAGTAGGTAACATAGAAGCTGGATAAAGACGAAAACATTTTCCGGCAGAAGTTCGGCCTGCTCTACCAGCTCGTTGATTGGCAGAAGCTAAAGAACATGGTGTGACAGTGAGGACATCCATATTAGTTCTAGGATTGAATGTTTTCAATTTGACAAAACCAGAATCGACGATATATCGGATATTGTCAATTGTGACGGACGCTTCGGCGATGTTGGTGCTGAATATAACCTTACGGGTATCTCGAGGTGGAGGTTCGAATATAATGGCTTGTTCTTCCGCAGGAAGGGTCGCGTAGAGAGGAAGAGGAAGGATTTGAGGTGCAGCACGTGGTAAACTACATATCAGGCTAACAAGCTTTTTGATTGTGAGCGTAAGGAAGAACATACGATTGTAGACGATCGGTAACTTGTTGTATCACCGAGTCAATTTCTTCTCTTCCAGTAAGAAAAACCAAAATATCTCCTGAGGGTTCCTGTTCCTTAATAAAAGGAAAGAGTCGGAATGGAAAGACCTTACCCTCAGATGAATGTCAAAGACGGTTTGAACGGCGGCTGCACAATAATCATCACATGGTTGCTTGAGATAACAGACTTCGACGGGGAACATGCGACCTTCGAGACTGACAACTACTTGGTCAGACGGGATGTGTTGCGAAGAGAGTTCAGCTCACTGATGGCGTCATCTTTGGATCGATCGGCATGGTCGGAGTTCGAGTTGAAATATTCGTAAAAGTCTTCTCTGATGGTCAACAGGGCTCGGAATGAGAATGGTTATGGTAAAGACGTACGCGTCGATAGTCGCGGACGAAATGATGACTCTCAGTTCAGGACGTTTACGCATGATTCTGACGTCAGTACCAGACTTTTCTCAGTAGGACACCCACTTTTTCAATAACCCCAAAAGGAGATCGGTATATGCACCTCGTTCATGTGCTTCGTCCACCTGTCATCAGTTCCAAATTCGTCAATTTCCCATCCTTTTTTGCGGAGTTCTAAGGGGTAATTCAAACCGGACAGACTAATCTTTGTATGAAGCAGTGTGGATGTACTTCCATCTCGAATAGAGAGGAGTCTGAATCTTGAAAGATGGCACAGGAAGCGGGGACAGCAATTGGACTCACCATGATAACACTATATCGACTCAACAAGGGATCCGTCATACACTCCCTGAACAGCATCCCATCCGTCATATACTTTATCCTCGTCCGAGTCGGACTTGATAGATCTTCGAATCTAATGGAATACCCCACCTCATCTCCTAGCACACTTCCGACTTCTTCAGCTACGCGAGTGGCAACTGATGTTGCAGCTACCCTTCTGGGCTGAGTACAAGCAACGACGAGGTTTTGGGACGTCCATCCTACCTCATGCAGATATTGAGGTATTTCTATGCATCAGTAAACCTTCCTATCTGAACATGGAGTTGTAGACCACGGGATGGTAAGAGAGAGATATGGACAGTGAGAGGCTGTGGTAGGTGTTAGAAGGAGCAATTCATTAGGAAATGAGACTGACGAGTAGATTTCCCACAACCTGTTTGACCGACAACGATGACCACTCTGTATTTCTCAACACACCAAAGAAGTTTTTCTCTATGTTTGTAGATTGGCAATCTCTGTCGTTGAGCGTCAAGGGATAGATGAGCCGTTTGAGGATTGAGAGAAGGGAGAAGAGAACCTTCTGTCTCGGTGTCTCTGTCTAAAGAAGATCCAGGAGCTGCGGTCCCGGGCTTCCAGAACTGAGGAGGCATCGCTGACCTCGCTTTGAGTGACGTGAGCTGTTACAAGTAGCGCATCTGATAATGTAGCTAGTAGCTGAGTACCTACTTCATACCTTAAGTCATCTAAAGCGTGTCAGAGCAATTCCCAAGAATCTGATTCCGTGTCCGGGAAGTCGATTTCGTCGATAACTTACTCAATTACTCTACATTCACATCACGATCGCGAGAGGCTCATGAGCGATCACGAGGGGGAGAACAGTCTGGCCAGTCGACAGCTAACCACTCTGACGCAATAGTATGACATGTGACGGCAGTTAACGGTACTACTCGCAGGTCTAAGTCTACCTCGTTGCATTCCTCCACTATGTCTCTTGATCCCTCTCTCACTCACATCAATCACATTTCAGCTGACCAGAACCTACCAAAGTCGTGCCTCCATCGGTGGCCATCTTATCATGCAACGACCCCCGCGTTCCCCCGTGCTTGGTCGACGTCTATCATCTCATTCAGATGGAGCCGAGGCGCACGAAACCGTCCGTCGACAGAATACAGCTACCATCCCACTGACCTTTCTGTTACAAGACGACGATGAAGATGATGAGGGGTATTATGGTCAATTGGATCCTGTCGTCTTTCTCATGGTACCTCACGCAGCGTACGTCTCTGTCTTTTCTTTTTTAAATAAAATCTTTCTTTATCCTTGATGGCATCTCACCATGTCACATAGACTTCTTTATATTCGTGAAGGCTCATGGTGGAGCACATCACTTGACGCTGCTGATATGCAGATGGAATCACGTTCGATCCTTCATCGCTCTCATTGCCGGAATGCACTTTGTAGAACCTGATACATGTTGTACCCTTCTTATTCCATCATGCTTCCAAACCTTAGCTCGAATCGAAATGTCTCATCATCTCATAGACCAAAACCGAATCAAAATCGTTCATATACCCATCGGACAAGATCAACCGAATCATGGATACACGACCATTCCTGATTTCTACAGTCGACAGAGTATGGTATACGAACAACTTCAACGGATTTACCCTAAGGTTCTGGCAAAGGAACCTGTTGATGATCTTATCACAGGGAAAACTATAGAGCCTTGGCCTTTATCACCCAACATGACCATCTTAGACTCTGCTCTGGGAGGTCGAGCGGTGAGGTTTTGTTTGAGGATGAATGCGGCTTCTATCATAGACGAGAGGAAGCGACCGAAACTGATTTGTTATTCCGAACTCAGTCCTCATTACTTTGCGAGGTGAGTCCTCAAGGTCGGCGAAAGAATATGACCTGATGAAAAGGACAATGACGGAAGATCTTCATGGTCCTTATGGTGCTTTCCATCAGAATTGTAGGTATGCTTTGGATCATAGGCTACAACCGGACTATGAGGATTTGGAAAGATATGTGAGTGGACACGAATTGATTCATCCCCGTTGCCTCTCTCGCTCAGAAAGTGGAACAAGGGTGGGGACGCTGATGCGCATGGATGAGCTGATCAAAGGTGTACGGGAGTTTGGAAGAAGTCTTAAAGCTGCATGCCTTGCTTTCTTCTTGTGAGTCTGATGTCCATTACGACGTCACGGGTAGACCTTCACTCACACGTAGCCGATCGCGACAAACAGTCCGGTACCGGTGAGTTCACCCCTGCGGACAAGTGGGTTTCACGTTTGACATGACAGTAGGACCTAACTTGGCTCGCGAGCCCTCCGTCGAGCGTTATCTCAAAGACTTCAGCATGTTCCTTCATCCCAACTGGCCCTCTTTCCTTGGAGAAGATTGTTGTACCTGTGACCGAGGAAATTCGTTCGAACCTTGGAGTCTTTCTCGAAGATTACATCTTTTCGGTCCACTACTTCCTCCTCGGCATTTGGACCCTCCTCCGGATCTTGACTCACACGTCGGCCGGTTTCTTGAGACTGCTTTGAGGGAGGACGGACCGCGAAGCGTTTTGTACATCAGGTGAGCATGTCTTTCTCAGATCGTGTTTTTTTGTCCCTTATCCTGCTACTCATCTCCCCATCATTGGTCTTCATATCTGGGAGAATCTTGACATGGGGAAGAATGACTGATAATGATAGTTTTGGTACACTCTTCTTTGCTCCCCCGACTCATATGCTGGAAGCGGTATTGCAATTGTTGCACGAGTCGGGTCAACGATACATTCTTACCAGAGGTAACGCCCCCGAACATGTACAAAGAATGTGCAAGAGAAAAGTGAGAAAATCGAATGGAAGAGGGTTGTATATGTTATGGGCACCTCAAAGCGGAATACTGTCGCATCCAGCCACGATGGGATTTCTATGTCATGGAGGTTTGGTAAGTATCATGGAGGGGATAAGAGGAGGAGTACCTTTAAGTGAGTCACAAAGTTGTTTTCTCCAACTCTTGAGACTCTCTCATCCTTGTCTAATCTGATGGATGGCGAATGAACTTATCCCATTCATCATCTCCTCGCACGAAACTCATTCACATCCCCACTCGAAGATTCCGCTGCTACCCTGTGACTGACCTACTCCCAAGCGAATCATCATCATCGGAAGATTCTCGAGAGTGATAATTTTCACGTCGAGGGTGAAGTTGGTATGTCATGACGGTGTGATTGTGTACAAATAAATGCGAATTCTTCGCTCACCTCAGTATTCTGGCCAGGAAGTGGAGACCAAATCCATAATGCAACTTTCTTCACTCAATTCGTCCCAATCGGTATCACACTCGAACAAATCATATACAACCCATTATTCGCAAACAAACCTAGATACTCTAGATTTGCTCTAGCTGTGAAAAGAGAATTACAACACGCGATCGATACAATATTAGGTGAAGAAGGTGATGCGATGAGGAATACTATGAAACGTTTGACCAAAAAGATGGAGAAAGAAGCATTGAAGAAAGGAGAAAGTTATAATGCTTTGAGGTTTTTTGCTGATCCTTCTGGAACCTGGAAGAATGAAGGGCAGTATAATTGATTGTATGTTTGGTGGTTCTTTTAACATGTAAAAGTGTCTGTTGTATCCTGTAATCATGATGAAATTGTTTTGAAAAAAGTACTCTTACAGTAAGAGTTTCACTATGTACAGTATTTGAAAAGATGCCCACAATTTTGAAGGTTGTTCTGTATGACGTCACATAAGAAGTTTCAACCCTTCTCACGTTCTTTGAATTTGTCTGTTCAAAGACTCTCGGTTTACCCATGATCCAATGACATACTCATGCTCTCATTCTCTTCTTGTTTTCCTAAATGGTCATTCTACAAGGTGAACAACCCCCGTAGACTGACTCTTTTAGGTAGAGCGAGTCTTTTGTTGTTTGGTGAGATATTGGCAAATGCGGTGATTTGGATCATAGCTGGAATCATATTTGCTTCTCATGATGGTGGTGGATTGATAGGATTAGCTCTTCTTTCTTGGGTACGTCATGTCTTCCTTCTCTCTCTTTGACTTTCTCATTACCCTCCTCCTCTCATGTCTTCTCTGCTCCCCTCTTGACCTACCAATCAAGAGGATATTATTGTTACTCTGAACTTTTTAATACTTGAACTCGGGTATCCTTCCACCTCCCCCCGGGTCCAGCAGCATGCAGCATGCAGCAAGTACGAGTAAGATGTCCTTCGCTTGAAGAACGAATCTGCTTTTCTTTCATGTCAAGATGGTCAATGTGAAAGTGAGATGTTCCCGACGTTTGACTGACCAAACAGACTATAGGACTAAGACATGGATTAGACGCAGATCATATTTCTGCTATTGATAATGCTACTAGACAATTGGTATCTTTAGGAAGATTACCAATTACAGTTGGTATGTCTTCCCTCTATCCTTACTCCCCCCCACCCCCCACCCCCAAGATACCTAAACCAAGTTATCAGACATTTGTTTGGACCCATACATTCCACACATAGCCCCTGACACTATTCTTCCTATGACCGAATGTCACCATCCCTTATCAGCTGTTCTTCAAAATTTTCATCATCTTACTTTCTTACCCTCTTCATCCCTCCCCTCAATCGATCTTCTCAGTTGAATTCGTTTCAAGCCATCAGCTGACCATTCAGGATTATGGTTCTCTCTAGGTCACTCGACGATAGTAATAATTGTCAATATTGCCATAGCTATCTCCGTGGATATTTACGATAAACTCGATAGTACGTCTTACCCACTTTTCTTTGCTTCTCCTCCATCCCGATTTCCTTATCGACGTGAGCCCGCTTATCTCCATCGTTGACTCCTTGCTGTGTTCCTCACATGATGTAACTACAAAGCATATATATGATTGGTCAAATGAGCCCCGCCGTCACAGAAATCTGACATGACAGAAGTAGGTTCAGTGGGAGGTATCGTAGGAACATCCGTATCTGCTTCTTTCCTTTTTCTCATAGCTGTTCTCAATTCTTACTTTCTTCATTCCGCTCTTCGTGATCGTCGTCGTCTCAAAAGAGCCCAAAGGTCAGGATTACCCATTGAAGAGCTTTCATATCAGGAGGATTCAAGACGAATACAAGGAGGAGGATGTATGGTCAGGATCATCGCACCAATTTTGAAGGCGGTGGATAGGGAATGGAAGATGTATCCCGTTGGTATATTATTTGGCTTTGGTAGGTGTTCTCCATTCACGCAGTCTTATCTCTCATTCAGCCTGTCTCGTCTCTTCTCTACTTCTCATAAGTCCCAACGAAGAACGCGAGACCGGTTTCAACCCCCAGCAATATACGTATCACCACGAAGGCCCGCCTGTTCTCTCGGCCTACAAGATCGGCTGCACAAAGCAGAAACCTCACATGGCAGTCATTTAGGGATGAACTGACGAGCAGGCTTTGACACAGCTTCATCCATTGCATTACTAGCCATCTCCGCCATAGCTCAACGGGGTCCCCACGGCGAACAAATTTCACATGGCAAGATTGTTCTATTTCCAGTAAGTCCCCTCATCTGTTCAACTTGAAAGCACTACTGACGCTTAGCTATTAGTGATTACACGCTTTGATCATCCAATTGAGAGCTAATGATAGTTCACCGCAGGAATGTCACTTGTCGATTCCCTCGATTCGGTTCTCATGCTATATGCATATGCTGCGCCAAGTCGCCAACATCCCGATGGAAAGCTGACATTGTTTCATCCTCGTCTTCCGATATCTGCGAGTTTGCCAACTGCACGAGAGGACGAAAATGCGGCTGTTTCGGAGGAATTGTTACCTTCACCTAGAAATGAAGAGGCGCCGCTAAAAGTTGAGACAGGACGTGGGGGCACTGTGTTGGAGGAAGAAGCGGATACCAAATCGAATGATATAGTCGAAGTCGGAGAGATGGCTCATGAGGATGAACGTATGGAGGGAAAAGTGTTGAGGAAAACAACGACAATGTCGACTTTATCAATTATACTTACTTTACTTTCCATTGTCGTCGCTTTAAGGTGAGCTTTTCCATTTGCTCTTTCGTTTTCACATGGGAAGAGGGGTTCACATTAAGCTGCCACGTTCATGTACGTGAGATAAAGACTGAAGGGATTGACAGTAAAGCAAAAAGATGTGATCCTGACAAATAGCATTTCCATCATCGAGATCCTCGGTTTGATAGGTGACAATTGCTCGTCTTGTTCCGCCGCTGCACAAGATCCGAATAGCGGGCTGAGAGGGAATTGGTGGCGTTTTTGGGCAAAGACGAACGATGAGAGTGGGTATATAGGTGCTGGGATCGTGGGTAGTTTTGTTGTGATTGTAGGGGGATGGTACGGGGGAAGATGGGCGTGGCGAAGACGAAATCGAAGTCGAAGAGTAGAATGAAGCTTGAAGCATATGTTATGATCTTGACATCTTGCGTTATGGCTGCATGGCTGCAGTCTACGCCGCCCCTTGACGCTCCTAGATAACTGGGTGTTCCACTGAAGAGTCAATATGGACGCCACACTACTGGTACTTCTGATAGGAGATAGGAAGAACATACCTTAGGACGCAGCTCTGTGGTCTGTGTTCCCTGATCGACTGTCACCAAATCGTAGGATAAACCTGACAGAGTCGCATATCGTCTTAAGCATTCCGAAAGTATTCCCACCCTACCCAGTTTGCTATCCCGAACCAAGCAGTAACAGGTATGAGAATCGGTATTAAATACCTATACCTTTCCTCGCACCCTATATACCACCATGTCTGAAAGATCAGCTAACTTTCTCCGTATTTCTCAAACTGACCTTATTGCATATGAGTGGTGAGAGGAGATAAGAAGTCCCTAATCCAGCAGCTAGAAAAGTGAAGAAGAGGAAGATCCCGGACAGACAGTATAACGTCCGTTCTGATGCTTGAGCAGGGGGAGGTGAAAGCGACAGGTCTAGTACATTGTGGTTTGACCCTTGAGCTGGAGTGAAACTCAGTGTTGGATTCTCCTGCTTGAGATCCTGACGATGAAGGGAGTGTAAAGACATCCTAACCCTGGCCATGACATATAAGTAGCAGAGAGATGAGTGGAAAATAGACGAAACATCAAAGGAATTGTCTCCCCTTGCTACTCGCTCCGTATTTCGATCCAAGTTTTGTCTATTCTCTTCCTCTCTCCCCCTCACACCGTTTGTACTTTACTCCGTTTGGATCCTTAGTCTCAGAAACAGCTCGACACTCCGACATGCGTCGACCGCGACTGTACTCCATTCAAGAACAGGTGTAAAAGACTCGCTCGTCAACTCCTCTCGACGTCCTGATCGATTGTTGTTTTGCCTTTTCTAGAGCGAGGTCCGCACATCCGCATCAGGTACTTGAGGTGGGTAACGATTCCGTCACTCTTCCTACCCTTCTCGCATATTGTATGATCGGATACGGACCTTATGATATATGACCCTTTCGGAGAGAGAACTCAGATTGAGGACTTGTGGACTTTCACAAGTCTCGGATCGTCAGATTGTCGTAGAGGGCATAATTCAAATGGGGAAAATTGTGTCCAGTGCCATCTTATAGTTGGACGGTCTGAGGAGATACACGTCTTCAGAGGACAAAACATGAGAAACGCAATGGGATGAACGGAAGAATATTGTCAATGCTATGGGTTTCTCAAAATCGGAGTGGTAACACCGTCCATGCAGACTATGGAAAGAACATCTATGCTGACTTTTTGTCTATAGCTTGTCACTACTACCAATACTACTATTACTCCAGTAGTATCGTGTCACTCTAGTGACCAAACGATAATAAAATGACAAGATCTACAAAATCTATGCGTCCTCCGCCGACATACGAATCCAACGTTCTTCATAGACTTCATGCTCTGTTCGCACCTGCCCCTCATCTCCAAAATTCCAATGCGGAGGAAACCAAGAGAAGTAACACGGATGCTGGCGAGGAAGTGAAGGAGAAAATAGTTGATAGAGACGCCATAAAGGTTATGGTGGTGACTTGGAATATGGGAGATGCTGTGGTATGTATATTTCCCCACACTCTTTTCTGTCAACTGTCATATTTCTCATTGGTCTTCAATCTGTCTCATGCCTGCTTTGATCTGTGGATGTAATCTGTGTGGATTGCAAATAGATTTTGACAGTATTGTAGGGACTTTCAAACTGGGGAATTGCGGTCCTCAAGGAATGGACTGGTTGAGGGGATTAAGGGGGATAGCGTTCAAAACGATTGTATGCAAAACAGCTGATAATCAGCCCAAAGGGGATCTCTCAGTTCTCTTCGGTAACGTCCCCCAATACAGTCCTACTTCTCCAATCGACGGACTTCCAGATCTTGGAGTGGAAGATTCACATCCTTATCATATCGTCGTCGTTGCAGGACAGGAATGCCCAACACATTCTGGTGTTCCTCGTGGTTTAGGAGGAGGTCTCATGAAAGGTGTCAGTATGACTGGTCATCGAAAAGATAAAGATAAGGAACAGAAAGAGTTGACTGTGGATATGGAGAAAGAAGTTTCAGGAGAGTTGAAATCACCTAATGGAGAGTTAAAAGCTTTACCACCTCTGCCCAAAGGTTATGATATGGATGAAGGGATAGATGGAGAGGGAAAATCAAGAACTGCTTCACCACTCACTCCGGGAGTACATAGGTCCAGCAAAGGCTGGAGCACAATGTTAGATGGTGAGTCGGAGATGTTGTGGACCTCATCATCCTCCCCTCCCGGTGGTCAAACTTTTTTCCCCATTGAATGAGCTTCTGCATGTTCTTCCCTTGGACTCGTGGTGGCATGACTAACACCCAGAATGGTTCTGCGGTCCCGCACCGGAAATCAAAAGTGGTTTCTCCACTCCTGTCCTTACAGATTGGACCTCTGGCAATTCTAGTTCACCCTTTGGCCTTACTTCTCAACCACCCCAAATGTCACGATCAAACTCCGCTCCCACTACTCCCAAAATCAGCTCTCCTATGCTCATACCTCGTCCAAACGCAACCCATCATCTTCCATTACCTCTGGCTACATCTCCTTTGGGTAGATCTCAATCATCTCTCAGTTCATCCGGAACATCAAGTGATGAAGCCGAAGCTTCATACGCCAATTTTCTCTCCGTTCCCAAAGACGCCTCTGGGTTGTTACCCCACAAATTGTCATCCGGATCGTTGAGACAGAAACCGGAAAAACTGGGCATAGTCATTCCCCCTTCCCCAAACCCTGGCGCTATGGGTGGGGGAGAGAAATGCTATGTTCATGTGGTCAAAGAACGTTTGATGGGGATGTATCTATCTGTTTATGTGTACAAAGGATGTCAGCATCTCGTACAAGGTAAGCTTCATCAACTTGGTGTGGGGTGATTTTAGCTGATGATGTAGGAGTCGACAAGGATTTCGTTACTGCGGGATTAGCAGGAGGCCGACTAGGTAATAAAGGTGGAATGTGAGTGAGAATAAATATCCAAAAAGGAACTCTTCGGCTGATCGAGTAAGTGGGATAAGTTTGAAATTGGCAGATCACACATTTTTGTTCGTGAATTCGCATCTGGCCGCACATACCAGTCGTCAACATGCTCGTTTGGCCAATATAGAGAAGATCAAAAGCGATCTTCGGCTGGATTGTTTTTTGCCCAAAGACGATCCCAGAGCGAACGAGAAAGGTGAGTCTATCATGATTACGAAGGCTGGAAGAGACTAATGGACAGATATTACGGATAAGTTTGACACAGTCTTCTGGTGTGGCGATTGTGAGTCATCCGCGAAATCATGGATGGATATGAGTGCTGAGAGATGTAGTGAACTTCAGAGTCGACTTGTCGAGATTACATGCGGAGTGGCTGGTGGAGCAAAAGAGTCAGCGGCTTGTCGAAAAATATCCCAAGCCGATTAACTGACTGACAGAATATGCCGAAGCCTTGATGTGGGATCAGTTGAGGAATGCCATGATGAACTCTTCTTCAAACCCTTTCCCTGGATTCCAAGAAGCGACCATTGACTTTCCTCCGACTTTCAAGGTGAGCTCTACCCTAGATCTATAAGTGCCTGGACCTTTTTACCTCTCTTCTCGCCGGTCTGACTTAATTCCCTTAAATGCGGCAAGTTGAAGTGGCTATTTGCGGCATGGACGCGAAGCGAAGTAGCAGGTTGACATTCAGTATGATGTCTGGAAATCTATCAAGGCCACCGCGCGAGAACAACGAAGATCGCTACGTCGGCGCAATACGAATGAATCACCTCACAGACCCTCCTCCAGCGAACCCGGTACAAGACTACTTGATCATGTTCCCGAGGCGGATGATCATGAAGAACTTGCTGGAGAAACGGAACCCTGTGACGAAGGCAACGTCACTGACAACTCTGGTCGTCGATCATACGAATCCTACGCCAACTCCCGAACCAACTCCTTCAATGGCACAGATCCTGACGACGAAGAATCCGACATTGTACCCACATACGGCGCAGGAGCTTACGGTTCCCGTCATAGAGCTTTGGAAGCAGCGGTCAAAGTCAAGACCAAACATTTTTTAAGTTTGATCAAGCTAGATGCCGTGTTGACCCCTCCGCGTAAAGGAAGAAGAAAAGTAAATCGTGCAGAATCAAGAGAGTTCGAGGATACATCCAGAAGAACATCTGTTTCATCTTTGGCTTCTGGTAAACATTCCGGGGAGATTGGGATTCATGACGATCCGTTATTTTCGACGTCTGGTAGTCCGGCAAATGTGATGAGAGGGTCAGCAGGGATGAGTTCTGGCAGTGTGGCGAAATTGAGTAGGTTGACTTCTCTCAAAAGGTCTGTTTCGGGGAGAGCGACGAGGAAGGTGGATGATGATTGTGATGAGGACGATGAAGAGGTGGATACGAGGGAAGGTGTGTATGATAGTTCAAAGAAGCAAAGGGTACCGAGTTGGGTGAGTCTTCATACGAAAGTAGTCCCGTCGCCTTCTGTCGTCATTGTCATTTTGTTCCTCCTGCACCTTCTGTTGGCCCCTTCATTAGATTTTCCTTCACATCAGGCAGATGAGCCATCATACGACTGGCAAAGTGCTAAAAGCCAGTGCGATCGAGTTCTTTGGAAAGCCCATATCATTCCTGATCCTTCTTCTTCGGATCACCTGATGCCACCCCCGTCCCTGTCTAGAGACAGATTCTCACGTTTATCCCAAGCCTTCACACACTTCGGAGATCATTTTCGTCCTGGACGTAGTACTTCCATCGAACCCGCGCATATCGATCGTGTAAGAATCAACCGACCCCTTCCTCCTACTCCACCTCATGATCCTGATTCTCCAAATCAATTCGTCGCTTCACCCATTGACTCTACTCTCTCGTCTCGCTCACCAACCACCGGAACCGGTCTAGTACCTCGACCCAAACCTACTCTGATGATTAAATCACCCACAAACGATTCACCCACACCAAAAAGACATCCATTGTTGAATGGAGAAAATTGGAGTCCACCATCTCAACCATCAATAACATTTGATCGAGCTTCTTCTCACGATAGATCTTTCTCTTCTCCTGTTAATCCCAATCTTAGGAGAAGAGCCAATTCTGATTTATCCCGATCAGCGCCTAGATCTCAAACTATGATATCACCCAGTATATCCGCAGGTCCGATGGAACTTGGTTCTCCCATTCACACAGAAGCATCTTCAAGTCATCTAAGTCCCTTCGTAGATCGTCCCCATACAAATGGCGCGTCATCGGAATATGTAACTTCGAAAAGTTCATCAAACCATAATTGGAGGAGGACTCAAACTATCGGAGTCAGTCATTTGGGTCAAGAAGGACATGATGATCGAAATAGTTTTTCAAGATTTATCAAAGATATGTCAAGACCTAGTTGGTTAATCCCAAGAGGAAATCTCGGACCGGGGTTGTCCCGTCAGACAAGTCATGTGATAGGATCAGAAGATGGGAAAGTGAAAAGACATCAAAGAGGTGAAGTCGTGTGCTTGCATTATGGAACTATTGATGATGCTGGAATGAGACAGTTGGAAGGTAGAAGTGATCATAGACCTGCTATATTTTCTTGTGCTGTTTACGTGTAATGACCAGTGTATAAGGAATCCGATAGGCGGAGATGGGGAAGAGGCAGATTGTGAAGAGACTTTGGACATAAGAGTGAAAGAGTCGAGTGCACGGTCAGATGAGTCGAGGAGAAACTCAAAATGAGACGAGGAGAAGGATCAGGGAAGTCGAGGAAGACGGGAAAGATAGAATGGATTGACGGAATCATGAGACTGTAGCGATCTATACATTATTTTGATTTAAACGATTGAACGATTACCCCTTCAGGGTAGAAATAGATGCATGTCATAATTGTCATTATGCGATGCAATAGGCATAGATATATGAACTTTGAGGTATAGGCATGGTACAAGCAAAGCACAAGAGACCGGAATGTCGGATGATGATGATGATGAATGATAGTAAGAGGGAGGACAGATCAAGTTATTGGTCGATTGGTAGGAAGAAGTTGGTAATTGGACAAATGACGAATAAAGGGTTAGGTATAGGACATGAATATGTAGATTTTGATCAAGCGTTATAAGGGTATGTAATATTGTCCGTATTGCGTGGGTGTATGCGTATAGACAGGATTGGCTGCAAAGCGTCACAAGTTCGTCAAGGTCGTCTTCTATGCGTCAGCCTGGTATTTCTTGATCATGAGTTATTTCAAGTCCTAGTCTAACCCTGGGCCATTGATCTTAGTGTCACTTCAATGATGGCGATACCTTGACGATGTGGGGACGATCATATACAGGGAGGGAATGTAAAAGAATGGGCATAGATGAAACGACTCACGATATCTTAAATCCTCATAACTTGTCTGAAACCCTCTGGTTCTTCTCCCGTAGCACCATATGCTTCACTAACATCTGCTAAAGGTCCATCTCCCTTCACCGCCAAACCCTTCCCTTTCACCTTCCCCTTCCCACTTGCTTGAAGAGTCAATTCTGATCGATTTCCCTCGTTGGTGTGGCAACTCCCGGATATTTCAATCTCGGGTAGGTGACGAGTGGAGGTGGGCATTCCCACTCGATCGATAAGGGTAGAATTGACAGTAGCTCGTCTTGACACTCTCGAAGGACTGGAAATAGTGATGGAAGTAAGGTTTGATATACTAATGTTTGTACTATGTCGAGTTTTACTCCTCGTTCGACCAGCAGGTGAATCCAACAATCCAGTTTCTCTATCTCTGGTTCCATCACCTTTTCCTTGCTCAACAATCGAACGTGTTGTTCTAGTTTCAGGCGTGGGAACAACAGGAACATTCTCTTTCCCTGATACACTCTTTCGTCTTTTTGGTCCTAAACGATGTTTTTCGTCTGTCGGTTTTGGTGTAGTGGGAGATAAGACATCATGTTGTCTCTTCACATTCTGTTTCGATTTCAATAAAATCGGACCAGGAACACCCTGTTTCTTCGGGTCGGAATCATTCTTATCGATTTTGACCTTTTCGATATTTGTCGACGATGAAGAAGGGAAACCTTTTCGACTAGAAGGTTGAAGTGAAGCAAGAGCTTTACGAGGTACTTCCGATTTAACGTTTTTACTGGGTTGTCGAGTAATGGAAGATGAAGATGAAGAAGTTGGTGCTCGGATTGGGGAATCGGCGTAAATGGAGAAAATTGCGCCTTTGGCTTTTGTAATGGGCATGATGAGTTCGTGATGATCGTTGGGTATATTAGAGGTTAATCGATTTGATAGGGAATCAGAAATGGCAATAGACGATCACGAGAAAAGAGAGAGTCTTTTGTTCTTTGAGGGATATGAATATGGGAGTTTTGGTGGACAAGACAAAGACGCCCAAGGGGGGAAAAACGAGTAAGTTTGCTTAAAGTTGAATCAAGTTCTATTTGTGCGGAAGAGCAAAGTCAGTCACGCGTCAACAGAGCGGAATCAAATGAAAACAACTCGGGTGGCAATGTGGCATGTGGCAAAAATAGTGATAATTCCACTCTCGTACTTCACTATCAACGCACGGATCTCAATTCCAAAGTCGACCTTCGAGGATAGGCCACCGAACAGTAGCAGTTGTCCAAACGTCCTTGCGTGATCTCTGGACCTGCACAAGTGACGTTTCCTTGTTTCAATTGAGAGATAATTTGGACGGTAATGTGAGTGGAATGTACGTAGATGGAGCCTGTTTGTGTGAAGCCTTCAATCTTTGGTACTTGTCCATAGCTTGTGTTACCATCCCGGATTGAAGAAGGCCTCGTATAGAGTGTAAATGGTCTGCTTGAATCTACAAGACTACGTCGGTACGCCATGGACGGTACTCTTACAATACAGGTGAAGTACCATACGTCCAAGCTTGGATCATTTGAATTTGGTGAGCTCAAACTCCCTTCACGGACTGAAGAGATACTCTGAAGTCCGAAATTCATATCCGAGAATGAAGAGTCAATGACAACCTTTTGTTCCTTGTCTTGCATCAACAATTCAGGCAAGATATTTTTGAGAGTTCTTGGTTCTGTATCCTCAGGCTCCGTGATAAGCTTGAGGGATGGGTGATGTTGAAACATGCTTTCTTCTGAGGGGAGGACGCCAGGAGGATATTTTATCGCCACTCGAAGGGCAGCACGTATCTCATCAGTAAACTCAGGAGTTTGCGATGACATTGCGGTATCAGGTAAAGTACCAAGGCAAGTTGAAAGAATAGAAAGATTCTAAGACTCTAGCGCTGGTCTAAAATGGAAAAGGATGACTGGAAGGTTGTCTTTGATGGGGTTTCACCCTTATATAGATAGAACAAATCCGGCTTGGCGGGCTGTTACGTTCCCGACCCCGACTGCCCGAAGGCAAGACCGGGGCCAAAACCGCGGCCGCGGGTCTCAGGCGTTGTTCGATCATCATATCCGAGACACCGTGGTGATCCTCGAAGAATGTGTGATGCCTGGTCATCAGACAGTCGAATGTCCTGGTACTCTAAAAGCGTTTTGACCTCTAGTGAACAAGGATGTGCGGCCTGAAGTAGCTGGAATGTGTACATCATACTCCAGGGGTCCCACTTTTCACCTTGCCCTTGGAAGCTACATGGTGGTCAACGCTTAGCGTCCACATATGGGCATAACTCTTCTCCGCTTATAACAACTTCAATTCCTGTGTCACGCGCGTCGAACAACCACTCTCTAACGGACCGATGGTCGAGGAACCTCGGCTAACTTGACGCTTCTAAGTCGATGTCTCACCCAACCAGGAGGGCGCAGACGTCAAAAGGAGTGTAACTACGGCGTACTTCGACGTAGTTACTCTAACTTGGGTTTTTCTCTGATGGCGATGTATCTTGATTTGTACGTAGCTATCTCTATCAATCTTTCACTACTAACAACAATCAAAGATCGCTGAAGTTCTTCAGCGATCTTCTCAGCTAATATTATTTACTCCTCCTAGATCTTCACCCAACCCTCTCGCGCTTAGACGTACTTCAACGCACTTCGTCCAACTTCCCCGAGCCCTCGGCCGTCCTTCTCCTCCCTTCGACTGACTCCGCCTAACATCGCCGCACTTCTGCTCCCATTGTCCCTAGTTCACCTACCTCCGCCTAACATCGCCGCACTTCTGCTCCCATTGTCCCTAGTTCACCTAACTCCGCCTAACTTCGCCGTACTTCTGATCCCATTGTCCCTGGTTCACCTAACTCTGTCTAACTTTGCCGTACTTGGTCTCAGATGTCCTAAGTTACGTGTGGGGTGACGAGGTTAATGTCACGGCCGTCGAACAACTATCTTCTGGCAGACCGACGGTCGACGAACCTCGGCTAACTTGATGCTCCTGAGTCGAAGTCTCACCCAACCGAGAGGGCGCAGCCGTCGAAAGGAGTGTAACTACGGCGTACTTCGGCGTAGTTACTCTAACTGGGGTTTTGTTCTACTGATGGCGATGTATCTCGAATTGTATATAGCTATCTCTATCTGTTTTTCACTACTGACAACAATCAAGGATCGCTGAAGAACTTCAGCGATCTTCTCAGCTAATATTATCTACTCCTCCTAGACGTTCATCCAACCCTCTTGCGCTTTGACGTACTTCAACGCACTTCGTCCAACTTCCCCGAGCCCTCGGCCATCCTCCTCCTCCTTCGACTAACTCCGCCTAACATCGCCGCACTTCTGCTCCCATTGTCTCTACTTAGCCTAACTCCGTCTAACTTCGCCGTACTTCTGCTCCCATTGTCCCTACTTAGACTAACTCCGCCTAACATCGCCGCACTTCTGCTCCCATTGTCCCTACTTAGCCTAACTCCGTCTAACTTCGCCGTACTTCTGCTCCCATTGTCCCTACTTAGCCTAACTCCGTCTAACTTCGCCGTACTTGGTGTCAGAAGTCCTGAGTTACGTGTAGAGTAAAGAGGTTAAGGCGTGATGGGGTTTTGATGGCCAAAGGAGGGTCATTGTTGGTGGAGTAATCGAGGTGTCACGACGTAGTTCGTGACAGTCGCCCCCTTCTTTAGCCGCGAACGTCCTCGTGAGCGATTACACCTCTGTCGTGGCAAGAGAACTTAGCAGCGTAGTACCCCCATTCTCTCCCTCCCCATGACCATCCTCCACTCTTCTGCTCTTTGCGCCGCACTTCGTAGTTGGGCCTCCTTTCACTCCAGAACCCGACAATGAGACTCCCCTAACTTCGTTGAGGTTGCCGTAAGAAGCCCTG